ACCAAAAATGAGTTAGATTTGGTTCCCTAATCTAGAAAGAGCCGGATAGTGCTTGTTAGAATAAGTTTCTGCTTTTTTCCCTTCCATCAGCATTGTTTGACACTCAAAGGACTCTTGAAGGAATCCTCTCTTATCTCTTCCCATGTGTCTGTGCTTTAATGCCATCTCTGACAGCCCCTGAAGAACTGTTGGGTTTCTTGCATGGTGCGCTGGTTGATAGGGCAGGCTGCAAGCTCAGGAGGGACAGATGTGCCTCCAGCTGTGTGGGGAGATGACAGCAGTGCTGTGCCACGCCTGAGCCCATGAGATGGAACAAAACCATCCTTGTTCCAAGCAGGGCATGGCTGAGCAGCCAGCACGGTGATTCTCATGCATGTGTAAAGATGGGGATGCGCTTTGGGCACGCTCCTCGCAAACCTATGAAGTGGCATGGACTTGGGGGTCTGCTAAAGAAGGGAAGGAGCGTATCCATCCCTCATCCAGGCTCGGTGATCTTTCATGGCCAGTTTGGGGCTGAGCAGCCAGGCTATGGGCTGTGCACGTGGGCTCTGCATGCTACGTTCTGTGCTCGCGTGTTGGAAATGCCTCCCTACAGCCCCGCTGTGCTGCTGCTGCTGCTGTGATTCGCGTGCGATGCGTCTGCAGAGGCACAGCCTGTTAAACGCTCTGCGCATCCATTCCGAGCGACAAAAGTCGTGGTTACTCAGTTGGATCATAATTGATTGGGTGCTGGAGAGGAGCGTTATGGTTCCTTTGTCTCAACGCGTCGTCACTGCGCTCCGTGGGCTGAACGTAACCCCGGCACCTTCCCTTAGCTGCAGACCCTTCTCACCTGTTTGTACCAAGTATGCTTATTTCTAGGAAGTTTGGGAGCTGTGTTGGCTCAGCAAAGCAGCTTTTGGTGTTGTGGGTGCGTTCAGATCCCAAGAGCAGAACCAACTACTGCTTTCCTTACAGTCCTACCCAGCACTGTGGTTTCCCCTTGCCCTGCAGACCCCAAGCTGTCCTGGAGGGTGGGAGGTGTATTTCTGGCTATGTTGAGAGGTCAGAGAAGACTGTTTTTGCATGGAGTGCTGCCAAATACTCAGCACTGAGAGGTTTATCTATACATGCATACCTGCCCCTAAACCTTGTGCTTCTGCTTTGCACCCTGAGATGTTTGAGGGCATGCATAGGGGAGGCAAAGCTGCACTGGGCTCTGGCCAAAACCTCCAGGAACGCTCGGGTTGTTCCCAGCTCTCAGGCTGCTGCCTCCCACCCTCAAAGCAGCTAGTGTTCCTTCGGAGGGATGGCAATCTCATGAATGCCCCCAGCCCGGTTGAAACAATAACGCTGGGGCTGCGGGAGCAGTGAGAGCCTTGGAGGAGCGGGTGGGTGAGATGCAGAAAGGAGGAGAGCTCAGGAAGTTTACGGTGAGGGAGAGGAGCTCCACAGAGCAGCCCAGCGCTGCCAGCTGCTCCCCACCCGAGCACCCAGAAAGAGCAAAGCCAAGCACAGGGTTCTGTGTTAAATTGCATCAAGAACCCCCACCCCACACATCCACACCTTCCTGTTGCAAAACGCTGACCAATCTCCAACACAGCAATACCCCCCGAGCAGCCCTCCCACCCTGCCCAGAGCAACTGAGAGTTTGGAGGGAGGTGGGGGTCACAGGGCACTGCTCTCCTTCTCTCTTTTAGAGGGGGAACCGGGGTTCTGCCCTCCCGAGCCGGGGGTGCTGAGCAGCGCCGTGCAGCCGGATCTCGGCAACCCCCACCCCTCCACGTTCGGGCTTTGCAAAGTGCCGCCAGCCAGGATGCAAAGCCGAGGCGTAACCGTAGCAATTAACAACAAATAAGTTCCGACTTGATCCCTAAGAGCCCTTTCTGCTTACGGCCGTGCCCATCCCCTGCCACAAGTGACACCGCTGTGCCCCTATTCCTCCCAACTCCATTCCCAGAGAGCTGAGTTGTGCCCGCAGAACCATCGCCCCAAGCAGTGCACAAACCCACGCCGTGCCCTTGTGTCCCCGACCCCGCAGGATTCGGCTGCTTCTCCCTATAAAGGAGAGTTGCCTGTGCTGGAAACGGTGCTCGGAAATCTGCAGCCTCATCTTTTTTTTTTTTCTTCTTTTTTTTTTTTTCCTCCCTCCCCCCTCCTTTACGGTGCGGGAAGGAGAGAGAGCAGGCGCTTACCTGGGATGGGGTCGGGGGCTGAGCATGAGGCGGGGGAGTGCGGGGCCGCGGAGCTCCTGCCGCGGTGCTGAGCCCGACTGATGCCTGCCCGAGTGGAGATGTGTGTGCCCAGAGCCACTGCAGCATCTCTGCATTAGGATGTGCTCCTCCCTCTCCTCCCTCCTTGCGTGCGCGCTCCCTCGCTCGCTGCCAACCACCACGCCGGTCCCTGGAGAGGGGATTTTTCTTTTCTTTTTTTTCTTCCCTCTGCCTTTACCTCACTTGCCACAGTGCAAGGACCAGTCAGAGCCGCTTGCAGCATGATGCATAATGCATGTCTCAGCCTCCGGGCTGCTGCGCCCACCCGGTTCCTTCAGGAGCTCTGAAACCCTGTCCCTATGGGGTTGGAGCAGGTGTGGGGCCGGGAGGCAAAATCCCTGCTCTGTGGGGTGGGAGCAGCCCCAGCTGCCGGGCTTCACCAGGGACACCCACTCCTGGGCAGTGTTTCTATATATGTATGCACTCCCCCGTGCCTGAAAATATGTGTGTAACCGTAGGTGTACGTAACTGGGTTTATGAGCAGGCTGCAGAAATTGCTTTACAGCAGCGTTTTGGGAAGTTCTGTTGAGACAAGTGCGGCTGGCATGGGTAGGACCTGAAGCACACGTTGTAGGGGGGGATCTGACCAGGAGGGTGATGCTATGGGATGTGACAGGGACAATCCAGGAGCTCCCAAGTGACACTGAGCGAGCCAAGGTGCCAGCAGCTCCCAGTCTGGGCTTGGCTGAGGGGTAAAGCAGGAGCAGAGCAGTGGGAGCAGCGGTCGCCCTGTGCTTCCCCTCCTTCCCAGACCAGTTAATGATGGAGGGAGATCAATGGCACTTGGGCTGTCCGCAGGTTAATGACCTGCAATTACAGAGGAGTAATTAAGGCATCGGTATCTCTATTGATTGGCAAAGCTCCAGCGGTCTGCGTTCCTCTGGCCAGACGGAATGGGTTCCACCTGTCCTTCTCTTGTCCCTTTCTTTGCTCTTGGCAGCTCTTTTTGGGGTGAGACCAGGAGGAATTGAACACGGCCCTTCCTGCTGTCACCTCCGGGCAGAGCAGAGGTCTTTTGCCCATCCTCTGCCCCTCTCTTTCACATCTCTGCTCCCACAGCTCCCAAGGGTTGAATCTGGGGTATCAGTGACCCCTTGAGGCTCCGTCCTGTAGCAGCTGGGGGAGGAGGCAGCTCCATAAGGGCTCCCATGGCCATTTCCCAGTGCTGCTGGAGCTTTTAGTGACAGTAATGGGGGAATGTGCTGGAGGTGGAATTGCCCCTCTGAGGGAACTCAGGGCTGTCAGCATCGATCTGCACCCCACCAAGGTCGGGGGAGAAGTGGGTGTTGTGAGGTGCCATAAAAAGGGCTGAGCACTAATGCATGCATATCAACCTCGTATTGATCACGGGGATGGGGCTTCTATCACTCATTTCTGGGCAATAACTTGATTTTCCCTACAGGAGTGATGGGAATAACAAGCATCTATCAAATAGAGTGGATAAAGGAGTACTTCTAAGGTTTCCTGGTTGAGCCCACCTGGTTCAGAAGGGTGCTGCTCTGCCTTGATGCTTGCTGGTCCTGTGCCAGGACTGCAATGCTCAGTGCCATTCCTGCCCCATCCTTCCAAATCCCATAGGACTTTGGGGTAGGGATTGGGATAGCTGCTGCCCCCATTGCCCCAAACACTCTGGGACTTCTCCTGCCCAAAGTTAAGGTGCTTCTGTTCCCCACTGCTGTCCTGTCGATGGGGAGGGGATGGACGAAGCCCCCCCGCAGCACTGCAGTAATACTTTCATCCTCTTAGTGAGGTCTGCAGCAATTACATCTTCATTAGCCAAATAGCTTTGTGTTTTTCCCCCCTTCCTCCAGCCCATTCTCGTCAAGGCTTTGCACGAGGGAGCAAAGAGCACTTCAGAGCCTTGAGTAGGGATGGGAAATGCAGGGCTCTGCCGGGAGCTGTGGGGTTGGGGGCACCTGGGTTAAACCTTGTCTCTCCAATGAGTCTGTTGGGCCATAGGGGCTTCCTGCTCCAGCTTCTCTGTGCTCTGCGAGGCTGTTTGCGTTGTGTCAGTGCTGGATGCCAAGCAGCATCACCCGTGCCCTGGGCACTGCTGAGCCACCTGTGTGGAGCAACGGCTTGTGCCTCAGTTTCCCCAGCTGGGAAGGGTGCTGCTGTCTGCACTGAGGCTTCCAAGGTGGTTGGTGAGGGCTCTGTGCTCCCATGAACATCAGAGCTGGTGCTGCTGCTCTATGGGTGCTTCCCCTGGTGCGAGGATGGCAGGATGGTGTTAGGCAGGCTGGGCTGAAAGAAGTTAAATTGCACAGCAGTCACATCGCTCCCTTGGCTGATAGGCGCTGCCCCAGGAGTCGGGCACAGTCCAGATGGGTGCTGCATCCTCAGGGCTCTGCTCTGCACTGCTCCCCTTGTACCAGAAGCTCTCCTGATGTGCTCAGAGCAGATGCAGGTCTGGTGCTGCTGCTTTGAGCCGCAGCTTCACTGAGGTTGCAGGGTCCCCCTGCAGGGCCGTGTGGGGTGGGAAACGCTTCTCCTATGGATGGTTTGGGGTGAAGTGCTGCTGGGCCTCCTCCCTTCCCCAGCTCCTCCACCACCAACCTGCCCTGCTGTGTCCCATCACAGCTTCTGGGCTGCGCTTTTTGCTGGGAAGGGCTGTGGATGTGGATGGGAAGGGGACAGCCTCAGTGGCTAAAAAGGTGATGGACAGGAAGGGCAAGCATCGCCTGAGTTTTGAACAATGTTTTATTATATGTTTAGTGTTCTCTATACAAAAAAATCCCAGTCTTTTTTTTTTTTTTACAGTGATTCAAAAAAAATGCTATCTGAGTATTTTGGCTTTCTTTCATCTCTCATGCAGTCAGTTTAGAAGTCCTTATATTAAACCCTTCTTCTGTAGTCCGTAGCTCTTCTTGCTGTAAAGTGTTAATTTCACAGCTTCAGATATACATTTCTCATTGAAACAAGTGGGTTAACGCAAAGGTGTTGATTTTTTTTTTTGCTTAAAAAAAAAAAAAGGCAAATAAATACATAGAATATTTAGACCAACCAGGTGGTTTTACAGAGAGGACGGATGGAGAGATATTTACAAATTAAAGGGAAACAAAACAGTCCGATATTTTTTCCTTCCCGTGAGAGAGGAAGAAACGAACACACAGAACGCTGTACTGCAAAGGAAGAAGTTGGTGTTGAGGGTTTGACACAGGGTTTGGATCATGTTGGACAACCAAAGCCCAGTGCCTGCTTGCAAAGGGCACAGAGACAGGTGATGCTGGGCAGGGGGAGCCGCTGGTGCAGCAGGGCGTTGTGCTGGGACCAGAAACTCAACGTTATTCTCTTCAATAAAACAAGTCTTAGTGCAAGAAATAGGAGGTGGGTGGGTTGGTTTTTATTATTATTATTTTTTTTTTTACGTTTACAAGGTTTATTTTTATTGCTTAGCTGAAATTGTTTGCTGCTAGTACACAACTGAGCCGGGTGTGAGATTGCAGGTTGAGCGCACAGCTGTGCTGAGGTGTGCACTGAGGAGAGGCAGCGGATGGATGGGGGGGATGGAGGATGGACAGGGTGTGGGGGTGTGTGATGGATGGGTGGACGGGCAGGAGGGTTGATAGGGGCAGGTATGAGGCGGATGAGATACAGAATGGTGTGTACAGGATGGGAGGATGGATGGGCACCAGGGCGAGTGGATGGGCGATGGGGTGGATGGATAAATGGGGCGCAGGGTGGATGGATGCAGTGCAGAACAGATGGGGCAGGCATGGGATGGATGGATGAGGTACAGGATGGATGGTGCGGGGGACGGATGGATGGGATACAGGATGAATGGATGAGGTAAGGAATTGAAGGGTTGTAGGATGGATGGATGGGACTTGCAAGGGATGCTGCTGCACGGCTCTGCCCTCACTCCAGCCTCACAGCAGTGCGTTCTGCCTTGCCAGCTCTATCTGTCCTTGGAGGCAGAAGTGGCCATCCTGCAGGGACTTGGGGACTTTCCTCTGCAAGAAGGCAATGCTGTGCAAGGGTGTTGTGGGGACGGGCTGTTGGTGTTTCCACCAGGAGGGTTTTAGGAAGGCTCGTTTTGTCTCTCGGTGCTTCCTGCAGCACTTCTGTCTCTCACTGCATCATCGCTTCAGGGAAAAGAGGAGCAGTCTTGGTATTGCATCAAAGCAACAGCCACTCCCTCCTGTCCTATGCCTGTGCTCCATGGTTAGCACCAGCTGGCCATGCGTATGCTTGTCCTTGCTTTTTATCCTCAGTGAGGACACATTTTCTGTACAAGAGGTGCTCAGAGCATGACCTGCTCCAAGAAGTCCTGCAGGGATGGGCACCCTTTGATGGGCACTGCAGGGCCCAGCCCTGGGGCTAGCACAGAGCCTCCCCACAGCCCTCTGCTTGTCCCTGGTGAAACTTCAGGGCAACTTGCAAACAAATACAGTAATTTTTTTTTTTTAACTGTATCTTCCAATTTTTTTTTTTTTTTTAGTAAATTCACACCCAGCACTACAAGCCCACAAAAATCACACTGAGCCATTCGTTCTTGGGTCCTCATTGCCTTTGTTTCCTATTTGATCACAAGGAAGGTGCTGCTCAGACTCTGTCACTGTTTCTGTGAGGCTTTTTGGGGCTCACTGAAGCCACGTTGCACTGGACAAGCACGGAAAGGCTGCAGGGTGAACACTGCCCAGCTTCCAGCAAGATGCAGAGAGGTTAATGGCAAGACACAAACACCAATGTTAATACAAATGGCACACAGCAGACAGGTGGCACAGCCTGCCCTGCTGCCAGGACCGATGCCTCCTGGAGGGCTGGGGATGCTGTGTGGTACCCAAGGCTTCCAGTTCCCACAGCAGAAGCTGCTTCTCTATAGCAGTGGCTGCAGGTTGCTTTCCCTCCAAGCTATGTGACCTCGTACAGACAGCTGTGGGCTCAGGAAGCAGCCAGCCTCCATAACTGAGAGCTGTGTTATGTTTGGCTTAATGAGTTTGCTTAAAACCTGAAATGCGATTGTGGGATAGGCAGGGGATGCTCTCCTTAGGCCAATGGTGAAAACAGCAGGAACGGATCTGTTGCACGAGTGCAATTACAAGAAGTGTCACAGCAGCAAACATGGCCCTGCCCTGCAAGGTGACATTGGGAAGGACCCTGGCAGATGGCTCCTGTGCTGACCTGGAGCCCCTCAGCTGTAAGGTTGGGGTTGGGGTTAAGGGCACGTCACCCGTCTGCTGTCTGCTTGCAGCCTGTTTTCTCCCATGTGCTCTGTTAATGCTGACCCGGTCCTGGCTCTCCTCTCCAAAGTGCAGGATCATTGTGCCATTAGCAGCTTCAAGAATGTGGCAAAGTACATCTGAGCAATCCCTATTAGCAGTGTTCTCGTTAGCGATACGTCTTCGTAGCAAACCAGCTGAAAGAATAATTGCGTTAATCCTATTGCATTTAATCCATTAAGCTGAACAAAACCCTCCTCCTTAGGAAAGAAAGGAAAGAGAAAAAAAAAAAGAAAAATCCATCCTAACATCATTCCACGTCTGCGAAACGGTCTGAAGGAATCCGATCTCTCTCAGCGAAGGTACCTTTGGTTTCAAAAGTGCAGGAAGTGGGAGAATACACACAGCGTTGGCCACTAAAGGCTCTACCTTCTACAGGATCCATGCGTTCCCATCTGGGAGATGTCCAGCATCCTACTCCTACTGCTCCGCTGGCTCCGAGGCCGTCGCATTGGGGAGCGAAGCGGGGTGGGGGTTTAGTGTCAGTCTGTTAAACGTCCCGGGACGTTGGAAGCTGTGTAAGGCATGTGAAGGAGCACTCCTATCCGAGACGCTTCGTTACGGCGTGTTTCCCAGCCTGAAAGTAAATTGCGTGGGGTTTTGATATGTAAAGAACAGCGGAGGTGAGTTCGGCGCTGTGGGAGCGTCTCTCAGGCTGATTGATTTGGGGGGGAAAAAGGGGGTGGGGAGGGGAAAGGCCGCTGTGAGAAATTAGGGGTTAGCTGAGAACGCCCAACCTGGCACACGGCTGCTGCTGGGGGGGGGACCTCGGTGTCCCACTGCTGTTCCTGAGGGATGCATGTCCCTGATGTGCATTGGAGCAGTGTGCAGGGCAACAGTGGGGGTCCCATAACCGCTCCCAGGGGGGGGTTGTTTCAGCCTGACAGGGTGTTTGGTGGCTTTCTTTTTGTTTCTATAAGCAGTTTCTGGTCCCCTCATCCCTTGTTCGTACTGGTCCTGCTTCCACTCCCTCTTTGCTACATAAGATTTATGGAGTTGCCTTTAAAAGAAAGCAGGCATGGTCTGGGGAGGGGGATTTCCCCCAGACTTCTTACAAAGCAAAGACTAAACTAAAATGTTTTGCCTGTGCTTCCCCAGGCAAGTGATGCTGTGAGCCAGGCTCAGTGGGCAAGTGGCTCTTAGCCATACTGCAGTGCATCCCAGCAGCTCCTCATCCTCCTGGGGCTCCCTTGATTTGGGCCTGGTGGCCCTCGGGGCTTCGTCCCACAGTGTTGAAGACCCACACTTCTCAGCTTGAGATGCTGCTGGAACCTTCAGGAAGGTTTGGGAGAGGCTGTGGGCAAGGTGCTGCATGGGGATGGACATTGCTGCAGTGCAATATCGTGCCGGCGTTGCCCATATGGAAACCACTCTCCTTTTCTTCTGTACATTTTTGATGACTCGTTTCTCTGCTCAGCCATTTTCCCTCCCCAAATTCCTTTTTTTTCCCCCTGTTGTCTGAAACCTTCCTATAAATATATATATTAAAAAAAATAATGATAAACTCCCTCCCAAAAGAAGAGAAAGGACACGGGGAGCTGGGTACAGCACTCCTGCATCCCTTCATCTCTGCACTTCAGCTCCGATTCTGGCTACATCTACAACTCATCCACGCCTCGGGAGTCCTTGCCATTTACTTGTTTGCTAAGGATAAGATGGCATTGGCAGCAACCTGGTCTGCCTGTTTGCTTGGATTATTTTTTTTCTATATTTTTTTCCTTTTTTTTTTCTTTTTTTTTTCTTTTTTTTTTTTTGTGTGTGTGTGTCATTGGTTGGTTTTCATTTGTATGTTGAGTTGGAGGCGGTGGTGGCGGCGGCTCTTTAACCCCCAGCCACTACAAGCCCCACAGGCTGTTCGTGGTCCCATTGCGTTGCGCTATGCTAATGAATAGATAGCATTGACTGGGGATGTGGCTTCCGAGCTCTCGTTGCCTTCTGTCTCCTCCTTGTCCTTTTTCACCGTGTACTGGCCGATGAAGGAGCCGTCCTCGTTGAACTGCCCTTCCCCACCCTCTCCGTAGTCCACCAAGCTGTCGTCGCTCTCCTGCTGCTTTATCGTGCCATCCAGGGATGTCTGGCTGTTGGGCAGTGGTTTGTTGTCTTCATCACTGGTGGACAGACAGACAGAATGAGGGTTGAGCGTGGGGATCGCGAGGGGTAAAAACCAAGGGCTGGATATTCAAAGGTAAATCCAGTGTGTGACTGTGCTGAGCTGAGAGAGCAGGAGAAAGGCACTGAGTGCGGGCAGCGGGTCATGGGGTGCCCAGTAGGAACCCAAGGTCGGCACACAGCCTCCATGAAGGAAGTCCGCAGCTGGGTTTTGTGCTGTGGTTCGGATTTCTGATAGCCCAGGCCTGGTGGCTTTTGGTTTTAGAAAGCAATTTTGTAGAATCACTGAATTGCAGGATATCTCAAGCTGGCAGGGACCATAAGGATCCTGAGTTCAACTCCAGGCTCCACACAAAACCACCCAAAAGCCATAAAGCTTGTGTGAGAGCACTGCCCCAGTGTTTGCTGAGCTTTTTACATGCCACACATTGCTCAGAGCAGTCCAACTGGATGTACATGATAAATATCCTTCCCTTGTCATTGCTCGTATCCTTTCCTTCTCCCTGCATTTTAGCCAACCTTGATGTAACCTTGGTTTAGTGAGGTTTGTTCCCAGCTTTCCTTGTGAAAGCACGCATTGTTTTAGAGAGCTCCATGCAATGGGGAAAACTCAAAGCACTGCGAGGGGGGCAAGCACAGGATGCCAAGTTCTGTGCAGCTCCTGAAACTCATGGGAATTTACCTTTCCAAGCTTATTTCTGAGCATCTAAGCTTGTTTGCCCAACTCTTTAGTTGCAACTCTTCTCTTTTTCACTGGAAAGATTAGGCCAGGTCACTGAAAAACAAATCGGCTGACCCACAGGAAAAAAAAAAAACAATCTTTTAAAGAAACCTTTTAACAAAAAATGGGGGAAAAGCTGTTTTCCTCTCAGGAGGGCAAGGACTGGTACCTCATAAATAAAGATAGAATTGCATCGAGGACGAGAGAGTTGCTATATATAAAAATTAATTTTCATATCAGCTAGTCATTAGTTCATATTTGAGCCCACATTCAGCATGCAAATTGTGTAACACAGCTAAGGAGATCTCTTACATACCTTGAGCATTTTTCCTCCCTCCCACTCCTGTCTCTATTTATTTGGGTTTGGTTTAGTCCTGCGCCCAGCAGGCTCGCTCCCCTCTATGGCAGTCCACTCTGTTCTTGACTTTTATTAAAATTGATAAAAAATATGGGGCTATTTCAAAGCTGTGCACGCAGAGTCATCAATCAAAGGGAAAAAACAAAACGATTCAGCCTATTTTTTTTCATTTGTTTGCTTTTTTGGAAAAACAACCTCCCGTAGCCTCTGGAGTTTTGGGGCCATTTTTCATTAAAGCAGCATCTCAGGATTCGCCCTTTGGGCAGGCAGCATCCACAGCACGGTGCGTGGTCCTGGAGAGGGGAACAGGGAACATTTTGCTTGGACCAGGGAGAAAAATGCTCCCTAGTGATGGGAGCAGCGAGGGAAAGCGTTGCATCTGTTTGTGCCATTTCATTAATGGCATTTCATTAATGGCATCAGCTCTGTGCAGTGGGAGAGGAATTTGGTATCCCACGGCACAACTGGCAGCTTTGTTCTGTGTTTCCTTCCATCAGCGCTTTGTGAATTAAGCAATGATACAAAACCAACGTTCCAGGCCTTGTGTTAACTTGGCATCTCGATAAATAATCGCTTGTTAGCTTCGTAAGTGGCTCCTTTCTAGGGGGGGAGAGGATTCAGTCTGCAAGCAAGACTGTTAGAAAGCCCAATTAACGTCAAGTAGAGAGTGGCAAAAACCAGATCCTTTTATCTGAAATACCCCTTCCCAAGATTTGGGGTGGGTTGGGTTGGACTTGGATCTAGAGCCAGGTTTTCCCTAAGGTGGGCTCTGCAGTGCCAAACTCCCCAGCAGTGCATTTCCCGTGCCTGCCCTGGTTTTACCTCTCTCCAACGCTGCTCATCCTGTTAGTGCATTAGGAGGGCGAAGCAGATATTCATCAGCACGCTGATGGGCTCTAACTCTGTTAACATGGATTTCTATGGGATTTGCTGATGGGTGCATTAAAGAAGCAGAGCACCCAGCTCAAATCCGTCGAGGAAGTGCTATCCTGAGCGGCATAAATCATCGGCAAGAGGGGAGTCTGGAGCCAGGGGGAGGGCGCTGAGGGGTGATGCAGAGGATCCAGCCCTTCCGCTCACGTCTGTCGTCAGCATCCCTTGGTCCCACTACACACTGGAGACCAGTTTGGGATGAGGGTGACGTGGCTGGTGATGCCCATGGAGCATCTCAAGCAAAGTGCATCAATGGGCATGGGGTTACTCTCGACCCCAGTGAGAGATAGAGGAGTCGTGTTTAACGTTAGGTGTTAGGTGAAGGAGGGTGTATGGGGATGGGATGGGGAGGGGAGAAACAAATTGCAAAAAGGAGTAATTAAAAAAAAGAAAAAAAAGCTAAATGTGCTGGAGTTCTGGCAGCACGTGGTCCTACCTTTCAAGAGACCTTCATGGTCCATGTGGATAGACCAGGTGAAAAGGAGAAGAAAGAATGGGAATAAAACAGAGAGAAGCAGAAAGAGCCTGATCAGAGAGAGATATGATGAGGTATGCATTTACAGGGGCAGTGCTAAAACCAAAACAAAAAGTCACTGCATTCCTCATGGAGCTCGTTGCCTCGTTATACCAAATGGAGCCGGTGGAATTGTTCAGATCTGGAGGAATCCCATCGCTGGGGAAGCTGACCCAGGAGAGCACAGCTGGCAGAAGCCAGGCTGCTTGTGTTGGGCTGATGGCCAGGCACAAGCTGCAGGGGGCAGATGCCATGCTGGGGGACAAACAACATGCTGGCCAGGGGTAAGGTGAAGGGACCGCTCAGCATCCCCTCCATCCCTCTGCCGGGCTTCCATGCTGATGTAACATCAGTGCATGGTGATGTCAACAGTTGAACCTATTCCTCTGTCCTCCCCTTGCTGGGCTGGGGGCAGCTCTGTGTCTCCTGACCTTGTTGCTGCTGTCCACAGTGCACTGGGATGTGCCACCAGATCCCAACCTGAACCAGAGCTGCGTGGAGCCCAGGAGGTAAAACCACTCAACTCTCCCATCCCAGTAGCCCAGATTTCTGGTCGGTTCCCCCACGTGCAGCTTTTAAACATTTGGTATAATGAGGCACAGTCACTGGCACAGAACACTGTCCAAGGATAATGGTCTCCTGCTTTGAAAATAAGCTTCTCAGCTTAGCCTCTGCCCAGGAAAACCATTATTCTGTTAGTGGAACAGAAAGATGTGACAGTATCTCTTAATTATAGGCTGCAGAGATTTGAAAGTTGCATGCACAGGGCATTAAGGACGTGAGATATGATGAGAGCATATCAGACATGCTATGTGGAGGTAGGGAGGGAAACCAGTGAAGAACTCACGTCAGCTCAGATCCTGTCCTTGCTTGAAATACTAATTGCTACCCTCCTTGAGCCTAGCATCGCAATCATTTTGAATCTTAATCAGCCAACAGCATTTCATATCAATCCTTCAAGTTCACCTTCCTTTCTGCGTCCTTGAGAGAACCTCCTACCACTTCTGTTCCTGATGGAGGGGCAGAGTTCAGGGTCTGGTTTTATTTCTCTTTGGTTGCTTTTTTTTTTTTTCATGTCTAGCTCATGGGATGCTGATGGAAAATGCAAGAGCATCTTGGGGCTTGGCATGAAGACTGCACTCAGGCACACCATCCCCCTTCCCAGCAGCATTTGAATACAGTATCCAGCTGTTACAGGAAGAAATCTTGTCTTGGTTTAGTAAATCCATGACTCGCAGAGCAAGGGTCACATCCATGCCAGCAACATTGCAAAAACCTCAGCTCTATGGATAACAACCCCAAATACTCAAAGCAGGACCCTTCCTGCTCCTACGCTTCAGTCATTCCTATGTGAATGATACCTGTTCTTGTTGCTCTCGTTGCCCTTCTATTTTCTGCATGCTCATGGCAGTGGGGCTGTCAATTAGAGGCTGAGGTTCAGCTAAGCAGGAGTTGCTGCATTGTGGGATGGTCGAAGTATGGAAATCAGCAGTAGATTTTCTTGATCAAACTATTATTTTCTGTACCTAAAGGTTTTATCCATAGCTTGAAGGTGTCGCCCCTGCATGGTGTGAAGGGCAATAAATGGTGACTTCTTCCTGCAGTACCTATTTGGGTTCCCATTGAGGTATATTTGTATTCTCTACCATTCCTACCAGAAAAGTGGGGAGCATTGGTGTTCTGACATCCTTTGGAGAAAAGCCTAATGTGGTTACCATGCTACTAACAGTATAAATGTGATGGTACAGAGGAATGCAGTTGTTCTGCTTTCATTTATGCATTGTGTGCAGGCAGACCTATTCATTTTGCTCCCTCTGAAGTCTTTGGTGGAACATGTGTGAGTTGTTACATCCCTCACTGAATTGTAAGTAAATTCTTCCCATCTTGGCTACATCAATTTGTAATGCTGGGAGTGCTGGTAATGACATAGGGTTTAATTAACCCCTGTTTTGAAGTCAGGAGGAAGAACTCCCACCAGACTAATTGGGCTGTGGATCCAGCTCTGATGGAAAGGTGCATTTAAATCCTTTAGCAAAAAGCAGAGCACACAGTAGGTGCTCACAGGGCAAACTGGGTGTACTGTAAAACATCCCTGTCATCTGTCGAGTGTGGGCGATCCAATGAGACCTGACACATTACGTGCTCCTGCTCCCTGGAGGCAGCGGGGGCACTGACATGGCTGTGAGATGCTGATCCCCCTCTGAAATATCCTAGGAACTTTTCCAGGAGGAAAGATGGGTGCTTCTCCTTCTTGCTCAAAAGGGGCTGCTGGGAGGCGAGGAGAATCGGAGTGGTTTGAGCAGGATCAGTGCTCAGCACTCCAGGGGCTGTTTGAGAAGGGTTTCCCTGGGATCCTTGGGGCAAAGCCTTGCTTTGAAGCCTGGGCAAGTGCACCTGCATGCTTTCGGGGCTGTTCTTAGCATGATTTTGGGCACTTCTTCCTCTGTGAGCAGGAGAGAGGCTGAGCTATGGGGTGATGTCCCTGAGATATCCGCAGGATGCTTCAGGAATTCACTCTAGCACCTTTTTTCCATGTGTGATCTGTAAGAGCCACGTCCTGGGTCACAGCATGCCAGCTCTTCCTGGACTGACCCAGAAGCAAACCTTTGCAGCCAACTCCCTGCTTTAGGAGCTTTAGGAAACGTTTCCTTTGGCAGAGGACTTGCAGAGAGAATGAGGCAGGAGGAGAAAGGTGGGAGAAATAACTGAGGAGGCTGCGTGGCACCGTGGGGCTGCGGAGGAGGAGAGCAGTGAGGGGCTGTGATGGGGCTGATGGGGATGTGAGTCCATGCCAGGGAGCATACCTGTAATCGAACGAGCCATCTTCTACGTTCTTGTCCTCAGGGTTCAGGTGCTCATCTTTGTTGTCACGCACTGTAAGCAAACACATCCCCAGCATCCCCGTCAGTAAGCCTGCAAGGTGAAGTGCAGCTGGGTGGACTTGCAGGCTGCTTCTCAGACTTCCTGCTGCAGTGGCACCAGGGGCACCGGCACACGATGGAAAATGACTTTTCTTAAGTGCTTGTCTTTGCTTTGCAAAAATTTAATGAGCTTTTTTTTTTTTTTTTTTTTTTTTGCTTTTTTTTTGCTTTTTTTTCTCCCTGCCTGAAAAGAGCTCTTTCTGGATGTGGCTGAGCAGATTTGCAGAGCAGAGGTGGGGTCAGGCAGAGCAGCAGCATCCAGCTCCCTGCACAGCACACAGCCCTCACCCGCCCTTTAATTAACTAAAATGCTTCCCACTAATAACAGCGTTCCCACTATGGAAGAAGGAAAGTGCTTGAAATCATGAACACGTATCAGAGCAGCAGTTTGATTGCCTCTGAAGCCTGGAGATATTTACAGCACAAAGGATCACCCCGCAGTCCTCTTACCTGGGTATTTCCCTCCTCTGCTCCTCTTGATGAAGCAAACAATCAGCAGAATGAGGACCAGGAGAGCGATGGCACACATCAGCCCAATGAACCAGCCCTGGGTCGCGATGTCCACATGGTTCTTGGTGTAAGCTGGGAGGAAAATGGAGAAAGGAAAGAACTCTAAGGGGAAGTCAGGACAATGGGGAGAAACAAATGACCAGAAGGACTCAGTCCACGCTATCTGTAGCACTGCATTTGTATATATATATATATTTGTATGTGTGTGTGTGTTTTCTGGGTTATCAGACGCCATAGCACAGGGATCTGTGGCTATTTTAATGGTGGGTCAACTCAGCATTTTTAGCAGGAGCCACAAACAGCAAAGGGTCACAGCGTAAAGGAAAACCTAGCGGAGACTGGTGAGAAAAGGCATTGAAAGTAATGGCAAAAGAAGCTGGGTAACAGATTTGATCTTGCAAATCCTGCACTTGAAAGCAGCCCTGGAGGTCTGGGATCGAGGTGCCCGAAGATAAAGATGCAGTCCTGGCGTGCATAGCTTGGCCACTGTATGAGCAAGCAGCAAGTGCAGAGCTCTGGGAGGTCACAGAATCATAGAATGGCTTGGGCTGGGAGGATCTTAAATAGCATCAAGCTCCAACCCCCTGCCATGGGCAGGGTTACCAATTATATCCTCAAGGAACATCCCAGCTTGCTGAGACGTGCTTTGGGAGCATTGGGACGTCACTGTCCCACGGTCTGGTGTGACACTGAGCGAGGGGAGGCGTCCTGCTCCTGCAGCCATGCCCTGCCGTGCTGCATGCAGCACCCGTGTGCGGTCAGACCGACACATCTGTCTCCTATAAATAGCACCGAGCTGCCATTCTCGGGCTCTCATTGACACACGGTTGGTATTCAGCAAGACAGAGTGGAGGAGAAAATAACCTTCAGCACAGCGGGGGGCTGAGAGCAACCAGGCTGCGGAGCAGGCAGAGAGGTGTTCCTGGAGTAAGGGAGCTCTGAGCTGGATGGGATCAAATCAGGGGCTTAATAGGGGGGTGGGGGGTTGCCCGAAATGGGCAGGATGGAGCATCTTTTGTGCCAAAAAGCAATCTGAAGCAATGGGATTGCTGCTGCTGCTCCCTGGTATTGGCACTGTGGAGTTCTAGGGAGGGATGCGCTGCTGCTTCCAGACTTTGCCTGGTTTAATTAGATGAGTCAACTCCAGCCAACAAGACCTGGGAGGCAGCACACGCAACTGTCTTGTGGAGCTGCCTTGAAATAATTGGATTTAAACCCACCATCCTCTGCTCCAGGAGCAGTTACAGAGAGTGAGCCCTTGGACAGCACGCTCAGTACGCTTCCTATTATTCCTTCCAAACTCATTCTTTCCAAACTGACTTGAGATAACAGGTGCTTTCCTTAAGATGAAATCTGAGCCCCGCTGTCGGCAGATAATTGCAGCCAAAGCACGACGCAAAGAAATCGCAGATAAAAGAGGAGAGAATGAGATTGACAAGAAAGTACCGTTTGTTAAAGAAACGATGTTGGATGCAGAACGCTCGGTGCTGCTTTTTGGGTGGGAGGGTGCTGCCTTGGCTCTCTTTTGTTGCTTTTTTCCTTTAATACTGCCACGCTCGGTATTTAAAACAACCTGAGCTGCATAGATGGACTGTTTGTAGTTGAGAGAACGAGATTAGAACAGAGAGGAGCTGAGAATTGGATTCAATTAACTCAAGTGCTTGAGGAGGAAAGAGAAACAGAGCTCTGCTGGAGAGATTCGAAATTGGAGGAGGTGGTTTTAGCAGCCCTGGTGGGGTTTGTGCAGAAAGCAGAGCTAAGGGGGAACGAAGGGCTCTTCAAAGCCTCAAGTGTGCCCAAGGGTTGAGCTCCATGCTGACCAGGGCTGAGCTGGTTGCACGGAGGGGATCCTGCATGCCACGGAGGTCAGGGTGTGATTGCCATCCTTCCCAAAAAAGCAACACGTGCCGACAAATCATAGTCACAGCAATCTTGTTTTTGGAGCAAACGAGTGACTGTCATTGCAGCATTCGGAAAGAGAAGGGTAAGCACACGGCTGTCAGAGAGAGTGTTCTGATTTGTGTTAATGTAAGGCCGACGCCAAGGGTAAATAGTGGCAAGCAGCTGTGGCATCGAACTGGTATTGATCTGAAATGCAACTGCAGTGGCTTTTTCTTTCTTTTTTTTTTTTTTTTTGTTTGGTAAAAGAAAAAGTAATTATAATCTTGTGGCAGAAAACATGTTACCCACCAGTCGTGGTTTATACGCCAGTAGGAAAGCTGACTGCATTCTGACAGCAGGCCAGCAAAATTTATGTCACGTTTGTGAAGCAATTGGGTGCGTAAAGCCCAGCTAGCTGCAGTCCTGCACAGATCCCCCTTCAGCGTTTTACATTGCTTCTTGAATTTAGAAGACAATTTGCATTAAGCTGTATTTGTAGTTTGAATGCCATTTACTATTGGAAAGAGCTCTTTTGGGATATTGAGCTGTCAAGTTAAGCAGAAGAGAAGGCGTGGTGCGCATGGACCTCTTATTTATCTGCATTCGATCTGAAGAACAGCTATTTGGCAAACATTGCAACCAACAAGCAAAATGAACAGGGCTCTCTGATCACCAGCATTCCTGCAGCATGTGATTGTCAGCGGGGGCTGAGCACCCGTCTCAGCAGAATCTAGCAGTGAAAAATGGGCAGGGATGGAGCTGTGGGGACAGGGTTGGGTGCCCCCTGTGCATTGTCTCAGTAACAGCAGTAGAAACCCATAAATTACTGCAGATAGCCATGCCAGCATCAACCAGCCAAGGATGTGACCTCCTGTCCTAATGATTTCCCACACCTTGGTGCTGGTGGTCCTCCACCCTAACACCCAAAGTGGAAGAAAAACTGCAAGAGAAGAGAAGAGACGGGTCCGAGCTGGGGAGCAGTGATGCAGAAAGGTGTTGCATGGTATGGGTGAGGGGGCTGCAACCTGGGGGCAATTTCTGAGTCAGTCTGGGAGCAGAAACTGGGGATGCTGCACATCCTCATGGAGAGGTGTACCATGCTGCCGTGCCTGAGGCAGTATCAGCATTGGGTTGTGTTGGACACAGGGTTACCAACAGCTGCCCTCTGCCCCTGCTTAGCACACCAGGGAATTATTTGATGGAGCAATGCCTTGCTAGCACTTGGGCTGCGTGGAATAAGGTGGGGAGAGCTGCTGCTGCTGCTGCTGCAGCCTTCCTTTGCTGGGAACGAACATTTTGCTCCTGAGCAAAGAGATGGTTTTCGTGCTTCAGCTCTCCATCACGCTGCTGGATCTCAGCAAAGTAATCTCAGTTCTCTGAAATCTCAGCCTTTACCTACTGCAGCGTGGGCTGCTCCGGTGCTGCTCACACAGCTGCTGTGCAGAGCTGAGCCCTGTGCTTGGACAGCACTGCACACAGATTCCTACGGCACAACCCACGAGCGGACACAAAGGGAAGCACGGGCGTCGTGATTTACTGGCACTCATCGTGTGTCAACAGGGATGCTTTAGAAACGCATAAAGCCTGATGGAGTGCCTGTGGAAGTCAGTAAGGCTCCTTCTGGGGCATTCAGTGGGCAGTGTGGGAAGCCCATAATTAGGAAGCTCTAAAAATCACTGAGGTGATAAGCCTGGAAAATTGCTTGTGCAATTAAATGCAAAGTTGCTGGGGGAACATACCTTGCCTTTCACCGAGCTGAAGAGCCGTTGCCCGCACCACGCGTGGCTGCGGTGCCGCCCCCAACTCATGCGCAGCGCCACAAGGTGCATGCACGTGCTCCTCACCCTGATTCAACCCCTTCCTTTTGCCCTTTGTTCAGTGCAGTCAGGATGCTCGGCTGGCTCTTAAGGGCAGGGTTGTGCTCGTCCCCCTCCCACCACCACGCCGGTGCCACCCGTGGGGACGCAGTGACATGCAGTGGACACGCAGCCCCGCTCACCTGAGCTGGTGGTAAAGGTTATGTACGAATGCTCGCTGGGGCTAGACCATATGGGGAACACCCACAGCTTGTACACCATCCCCGGCGTCAGATTGGCCAGCTGCACAGAGGAGGGGGTCTGAGCTTTAACGGGGATAGATTTCTCTGTCTTGTTACCTGAGAAACAGAAACCGCACATCAAAGCCAGCCGCGGGAGGTGGCTGTGCTGGCACCGCAGGCGCTGCGTCGTGCTGGCCTGAGCCACCAAGCAGAAATAATACAGCACGGTGGTCAGGGGGCTATGAGCAGTGCTGTGATTATCCCTCAGATAGAAGGAAAACGGCAAGGTGGTTTGCTGCGTCCCTGCTTGCTGTGCTTCAAAACGAAACAACGGAGAGCTGATCAGATTTCTCCCTATTCTGAAGACCTGACAGATGCTTTATCTGCCCAGCCGCAGGTCTGGGTGTTTGAGTGCTTGTAACAAAGGTCTGGGATTTGCCTGGTCCCATTCAGTTGCTGCACTGCAGGGCTGGGTAAAGGACCAGCTCCTGTGCTTAGCGTTGTGCCTGCAGGCTAAGGATGCTTTCTATGGGCTGGATGCTGCAGCCCAGCTGGGCTGGGAGGAGATGAGTTTGGAGCTGGGCTATTTGGCCTTTAGAGTTTGGACATCCAATGTTTGTATCCCCAGTTGTGGAAAATGGTTCAGAAGGGGGAAAATGGTGCCTTTCTCTGTCGCGATAACAAAGGCTGCAGAGCGAGAGCGGGCACTGATGGTGCCTCCCAAGCTGCTTTAAGTAAGCAGCAACGTCAGCTCTCAGTGTGTGACCAGAAGTGATTCGCTGTTGATGACTGTTTGTTTAAAATGCCAATTTGAGATCGATGTGCCATACAATAAGGCTGAAATGGCTGGGAAATAAAGACAGAGATAAGCAGCGCTCGTCGCTGCCTATCTACAAGAAATCCAAACCAGCATGTAAATGCCTGTTCTAAACGAGCACTAAGAGCAGATATATCAGCTCGAAGTTTCCACGGACAGCCTTACAATTGCAAGAGACAAAGGTATTCGATACGACAGGAGGTCAGAGGTGATTCTGCCAGCTCCAGGTTCAGCAAGTCCTGCTCCAGAGATGTATAACCCTGCACTCCAATTTGTGTCGGACTTATATGTTTTCTATGAACGATTGTTTCATACGTACAAGTAGATGCATTTCAAGTCTCTTTATGCCGAGACTACATAAAGCCCAGCTCCACAGACAGCCCCCAGAAAAACAGCTGTGCTCATCGGTGGTTCATGAGTATGAATGTCTTACAACCACGAGCACACGGAATGCACAGTAATTAAGACTAGCAATTGCAGCCTCGGGAGCTGGCAGAATCTCCAGCAGCATCACCACCCTATAGATTCCCCACGCGATCTGATGCTTACTGGTGATATACTTAACCACAAAGTCAGTTCCTGCAGAGTAATTGTGGCTCCAGGTGATGTTTGCCCAGTTACTATTAGCCCAAGCTCTTATGTCCCATATGGACGATCCATTGGTGGCTGGTGAATAGGTTAGAACAGGAGTTAGTATTTAGGATTATACCGAGACGAGAGTTCACCTAGCAGCCAGGGTTGGTAAAATCCTATAAAATCATTCCTAAAATTGATGCTTCAGTCTTAACCTATGAGTGTACCTGAAGATGTAATCGTTTCCTACGAAAACCTTGACTTCCAAATGTTGGAGGAAGTTCAGTATCTCATGGCATGCTGGGTTTTAAGTCCAACTGCACTCAGTTTATCTCAGAAATTTTGGCTTTTGTGGCAATTCTGTGTGGATTTTGGTCCATAGGGAAATCTCCTGGCTAAACTCATGCCTAAACCAACACAGGAGATCCATGCGTGAGCGCACACAGCCGCACTGCCACAACTGGGAGCAAACGCCTTCATCTGACTGGGGCTCAGACAGCCAGTGGGGCAATGAAGTCACTCGTTTCTGATTTTGAAGCTGAGGATTGTCGACATTGCTTTGGAGAGTGGATGAACTTCTATTTCTGGTGAAGTGGAGCTAATCCACTATTTAGCATGCGTGCGTGTCCCGTCAGATGCATCACACCTCCGTTTTGCTATTAGTGCTGTTTACTTAGGGGGTGTAGCTCCAGTTTTGGGTTGCTGCACAGAGGAGTGCCTTCCATTCCTGCAACAGGGACAGCTGTGAGACTTTTGGGATGGGGGTTGGAGCCCGTGGTGGAGTCTCTCTGTCTGCCCACATTAGGGTCGGGCTCTGGGCTCATGGCCCTGGGGCCATTAGGGACTCTCACTGCTCCTCTGCCTCCTTTCCTCCCACTTCCATCACCCGGTCTCAGTAAGCAGCATCTCCCACGTGCTTGCTGAATTGTGACCGTGTTCTGGTAACGATTTTGTGAACCTGCTTCAGTGCTATGGATTCATTCATAATGCTGAAGTTGCATCTTGCTATCTAGCACCAGTTTTTAAACTGGTTTTGTTAGGGCAGCGCAGATCCGTGCCCGTGTTCCCTTTGCTTGTGGCTTTGGAGCTGCCCCTGGGAGGGTTGCCTGCCATGAACCAGAGCATGAATCTGTGCTCCCTCAGTCAGGATGGCAGCCTTAAGGAGCAAACTAGTGCAGAGGAGGAGATGTGCTGTGGGTTCTCAGATCTCTCTTACTGCAGAGGGCCTCTCGGATGGACCCAGGGCCTCCCAGCATGAGTTGGGTGTTGGGTTTAATGGTCTTGAGCTGAATTTAGGCATAAAGTGGCTTGAATTCCTTTTATCAAATTCCTTGAAGTAAACCAGTGTCAAGTTTAATATTCATTACTACAGTCTCCTTTCCTTCTTTTAAGAGTAAACAAAGAGTTCTGTAGCTTTTGCTCTTACATTTTGGAGTGCATCCTATCCAGCTACATAACTGCATTCCTTTGGCTGTGCTCCCTTGACTCATTTTTGAGCAACCCAAATACAACCATCCATCATTCATTAACCAGAGAGCCCGTCATCGCGGTGTCTTTAGAAGCAAGGCTCAGAGGGACACCTCTCCCCATATAAAGTAGAGAATATGCCCACACCAATGCAGTTTGATCAACCTGCTCTGCTTGACTGCACAATGGCTGCGTGGTGAGCTGGGTAACACCTGGAGCACAGCTGTACCTTTAGCCACCTGCCCAGGTTCCCCGTGGGCTATGAGCAGGGTACGATGCAGGGAGCAGCACCATGAACCAAAAGACTCCTATGAGCTGTGACAGCTCTCCTCTCTAACAGCTGATGTGCTAAATTCGAAGCGACATCGTCTATAATAGCAGCAGAACCCCTTTTTAAGGACAATAAAGGTAAGATAACACTTCACAGGGTCTTCCACCTCCTTCCCAACCCTGATGCTAATTCAACATCACGACACCCCAGGCAGAGCTGTGGTACCCCTTTTGTGGGCAGCAAGACCCCCAAATCACCGCCACAACCCTGAGCCTGTACCACCTCTGGCTCCTTGTAACACCATTCCCAAAGCACGGAATGCCTTTTTCCGTCCCCATTATTAATCCTCGCCCTGAGCAAGAAGTGGGAAAGGTCCCATAGGGTTAGAAGGGGTTAGAGGAAAAGGAAAGCGCAGTACCCAGCTCCTGTTTTGTGGTGGCTGCCACAGCCCTCTCTGCAGTTGTTGTAGTGCTTGCGACGGTGCTGGCAGCTGTGGTGGTTGTAGTAGTGGTGGTGGTAGGGATGGCAGTAGTAGGGATTTCAGTAGGAGGGGTTTCAGTAGTAGGGATGGCGGTGGTGGTGGCAGTGGTGGCTGCTGGAGTTAGCTCAGTTGTAGGTGGAGGCAACCAGGTGGAGGCTGGCAGAGGGAAAGGCAGATGCTGGCTGTCAAGAAGCAGTTATGGCTCCTGGGGCTCTCACACACCGTTCCCAACACCGAGCAGAGGGGAAGCATCGAGCACAGCACCGCGCAGACCCGCCGTCCCTTCCCCATCGCAATCAGTAGGAGCAGCACCCAGACTGAGCTGATAGGAACAGCCCATCTGCTGCGGGCCAGGCGAACCCCAGTTCAATGAGTTTGGCAGCCCCTGCGTTATTTAGCTGCCAATCTGCCCTGCAGCTCCTTAGCTGCTTCCTTCTTGCTGCTCTGTGTACTGGGTCCTGCAGGATGGTGATGAAGCAGCCTTAGCATTAAAGTGGGTGTAGCTCTTCAGGGTCCTGCTTTGCCATCAAACTGCTCCTCAAAATTTACACTTAATGTAGGATATGCCTTAAGCTTTCCAAATGAGAAGTCAGTACAATTTTGCCTTTCTAACTAGCCCCCATTTGCCCCATGCACATCTCACTTCTGCTGTGAGCAATAAGGTCAATGTGCACATTATGTCTGCACCCCTCTGTGTGCTTGCAAAACTTCCTAAATGCCACCAAAGGAAGGTGCATGGGTTGGGCTAGCTGAGGAGGCAATAGGACATCTTTCTAGCTTTATATTGGGTCAGAGCTGTGATCCTCAGTGGCCATGAATGGGACCAGAGCCCTCAGCTGGAGCAGGGGGCTGCAGCTGGCTTTGCTAATGGGAACACAGAGGGAATTTCCAGAGGGGATGGCAGTACCACTGGCTAACATCTGATGGAAGGGGACATTGGCAACCATTGCTGAATGCTCTCAGGTATGAGTGAGCATTGCTCTGTAAAGGCGATTTCTGCTGCCTGAAAACCTGCCAGCAGAAAACGCAGCCGAGGAGCTGCTTAAACTGCCTGGAGTAAAGGAAATCCCGTGGTGCTTGCATTAAGTTGTATTTACTTACTCTTACTACAGATCAAGGGATTACAAATCCCCATCAGGCAAATGAAAATGGCTGTTACAAATATCACCCACTAATAAGAATAGCGTGAGGAATGTGCTTTAAAAACCATCCGAGATCAAAGCCAGGGTTGCTTTTTCACCAGCTCAGTCCCAAGTTGGCTTGTATGGAAGCAGACCTCCCTTCAAGCCCACAAGCACAGCAGGAAAGTTCTGAGAGAATGCGGCTAAGATCCCAAGAGACCCCAAACTCTAAAATCCCAGCAGTCCCAAGGCTCATTGTGGCCACCTCCCTACTGCATGCAGCTGCAGTCAAACCCCGTTAGCAGCACACACCATGACAGCAAACTCAATGCAACCCACAGCACCCCACGCAGGGACCAACGCAGCCTTGCACAAGCCTCATGCAGCAATGCAGCACCGGGTGGGGCAGGAATGGAGCAACCACCCCCCCAAAAACACTCCAGCATTGTGGAACACATCCCAACCCAGACAGACGGCAGTGACGGGAGCCAGGCTGGAACATTGCACAACTTGGTTCTCGTGGGCGCACGGGGCATAGCAAAACCCCAACAATCTCATTGTGACAGCAAGATTGCTGTTCTGCACTGCTTTATCTCAGCTCATCGGCAAGCTTTGCTTTGCCGTGTCCTGAGGCTGTAGGTTACAAATAGGGCGAGAGGTATGACCATTTTTTGGAAGGTGAAGCCATCGGCGTGGTTACCGCTAATGCAATTTTGCTGCAACTCCTCCGTAGGATTACAACGTCCAAAGTCAACCTGAGCAGTGGAAGCTAGCTATTAGCTAATGCAACCTCACCACTTCCTCTGCGAATCCCTGATTCACAGCGAAGGAAAAGACAACACAACAGAGCCCCAGGCAATTTGCTGTAAGGCTGCTCCAATGCCCAGCTCCCAGCCCACGTTGATCCATCATGCTGCACCCGAGCGCTCGGCGTGCGTCACCCAGCACCACTGCAATGGCTCTAGCAGCAGGTTAAGTCCTTGTTAAAGCAGGAGGTCAACGAGGGGAGCACATGTGGGCAGCACCGGGCAGGAGGAGGGAAGCGGGGCTCCTGCTGGGCTGAGGGATTTGGTCCTCTCTGCTTCGGGATTCACAGCTGCAGCCTCATTTGTGTTTGAATACGAAATGTATGCGGAGGAAAAGCTCAGCTGGTAGATTTGGGGGAGAGAAGATAAGGGGCATTTGCTAGCCTTTGAAATCCATCCCCTAATGAGAGCTGAGTTCAGGCTGGGGGGAGGTAAAGACGGCTTTGACAGAAGATCAGAGCTCCCCGCTGCCCCCAAAGAAAGGAGATCCCCTCCACAGCCCCGTGCTGCAACCTGGGCTCCGCTCATCATGGCTGACAGCTCCGGATCTGCTCAAACCAACTGCTTGCTTTTGCCAGATGATGCACATCTAGAAATGGTGCGCATCCTTCCAAAAATGCAGGGGTAACATTTATGGCTTATAGCATTTCTGAGCTTGGCAGAGTAGCTGCGCTTCTCTTTCTGCACTCCCTGCTTGCAGGAGGTGCTGCCGAGAACGGGCAGCCACGTTCTTAATGCAGGGTAGAGAGCACCCTGAAAGATGGTGTGTGGAGGGGAGCAGGCTTCAAATAGCCCCAATTCATCCAGAAAACCCCAAGTGAAAGCCAGCATATGGCTGCCTACATGGATGAGCTCCTCTTCCTGGAAATACATGTGAGTTAGCTCATAAATCGGCCCCATCTTTGCCACGCACTGATTGCTTTTTCTGTCTACAAGATGCATTAGCATTCCTGGTAATGGAGACCAAGGGGCACAGTGGGGAGGAGACGCTGCTATAATGGACAAGGGATGCAGCAGTCTGGCTGTAGCAATTAAAAGGGTAAGTGATGGGTGCAGCAGGAGGGCTGCCAATAGGTTTGCTCTCTTAGCAGCAGTGCAGCTCGTATGGTTGGGAATGGATAGTCATCAAAACTGGGGATGCTCGGATTGGGCAATGCTGCAAGGAAGAAACATAGAAGCAAAAAAGGGGGAATTCAAGGCGTGGGAGAGGGGCTTGAACCCTGCTCCAAGCTGCGTGGGGGCTGGGTGAGCAGTTGGCAAGACTTTGTAAAATACTAAAATAATAATAATAATAATAATAGCCCAGCCATACTGCTCTTTAATTATTTAAAGGTGCTTTTAATGTGTTGTTAGGCTGCGGTAACAGCTTTCCCTTGGGTGTGTCTACAAAATAATTAGGCTTGGAGAAATTTGATGAATTTTTCATGAATTCAGATGATTAGCCAAATACGTTTGCAGACTTCTCTCCCTCTCCCAGTTTGTGGCAACAGAAGGAGATTGTTAAGTCGTTATCAAAAAGAAGGGGAAAAAAACCACAACAAAAAAGCTCCAAATCTGACAGCTCTAAGAAATTCAAGAGCAGAAAGAAGCAATTGAATGCCCTCTAAAAGAGAAGGGTCAGCAGTTTTCTGTATTTCTATTGCTGTCCCTTTCCAAAATGAACAATCGGGGCTTTCTCCTCTGCTTCGTCGTTATGGAGCAACGAGAAGGGAACAAACAAATCAATGTGTTGGGTTTTTTTTTCCCCCCCCAAAAAAAAAAGTCTAAGGCCAATACTCTTACGGTCCCTGATGAAGGGATGGACACTGGGAATTATTATGGGATGCGCCTTTTGGTGGTGTCATTCATAGCATAAATGAGAGCCCTTTGTGTGCCACCCTTTCCCCACATTACCTCACCCTTCGTCCAGCTGTGGCTCAGGAAACCCAAAGCCTTTCTAAGGTAAAGTCTCTGCCCTTCACTTTGGCTCCATCAACTCGGCCCACTTTCTCACGGGCCTGCAGAGCAGCAATGACCCCATGAGAGAGGGGGAAAAAAAAAAACAAGGCCATTTTTAGAGCCAACAGCCCACGGCAAAGAGCATCATAGCGCACTTTTGGGCAACCTTCCCCAAGAATCCATAAAATCCACAAAATCCACCCTGCAGAGAGGAATCATTTGAGAGAGGTCAAGCAGTATTCACTGGGGGGCTGTATTTTTTGGGAAGGGGAGCAGCAACCCCACTACCAACACCAATACAGGGCACAGCTGGTCCTGCAGCACCGGGATGCGCCCTAACGAGGAATGATGCTTGGCTCAGTGTCAAGATGAGGATTTGCTCCTAATAGTGCTACACCTTCCCCTGCCCTCATCCCTCTTGGAGAATTACGTTGCAGAGTGCTGCCCAGTGAGCACCGCTGCTTCGGTTATGGCTTTTCAGCCTTCTTCCAGTGCTCACCTATCTTTCTCTGTGCCATTTCTCCTATCAGAAAGTAAAAATAGAGGAACGCTCCCTATTCCAGCAGTATTTAATGATCTTATCCTTTGGATAGCAACGAGTTCACCTGGCTGCCAGTAGTCCAAGAGTTATTTCTGCATTGATGCTGGAAGGATAAAGAGATTGCACTGTGCTTTTGGAGTTGAGCAATATCCATTGAAAGCAGGAAAGTCCTTTGGAAGAAAAGGTGGATTCTTGTGGCTGAGCTGACCTGACTGCAGCAGGAGCTCTGCTCCTCTGAGCCAAGAGGTTGTGCCACTTTTCAGCTTCCCACCAGCCAAGGCAGACCAATCTGTTAGCCCCTAATGTATATGGATATATGTATATTTAAGGAAAATACAGTTGGAAAAGGATTGGCAACTATTCAGAAGGGAAAAAGTGCAAAATAATACTGAGGAGAGACATCACTCCAACAAAATGAAAGGAAGAGGAGGAGGAAGAGAAACGCCTACGAGGTGGGGAAGCAAAACCTAAGGGTGCACAGAGCAGTTCCTGCACTTGCATCACTTTGGCAGTGTTTGCTACAAAGCTGCTCCTCACTGAAAGCCCCAGGGGCTCAGGGCTGCACCCAGCAAAGGCAAAGCACGACCTCATACAGCACCCTCGTGCAGGGCAGCCCCAAAGCTTTTCTGCAGCACTGAGGGGTTGGTTGTATCCCCTAGCACTGCTCCTGTTTACAGGGCTGTATAACCCTGTGGAAATACAGCATTCGAGGAGGAGAAGTCTTGGCTGCAGCTTTATAAGAAGTAGGTGTCCTTCTCTGGGCAACAAGAAATTCTGGTAGTGCTTTGCACTGCTGACGCTGGGTAGTTGGACGCTGGATTAATTGGGGTTTGGGTTCTATAGAAGCAGGCGTGTACCCCTTGCTGAGGAAAGGTTTCTCTGTGCTTCAATGCTGGTGTAAAATACGCAGTAGAGGGCAAAGCTAGCGATAGCCTCGCATGCAGACATGCACAGCTGTGGCACAAACATTGTCCTTTACCCTTTCAATGGTCACCAGGAGGCAAAAGAGCAGCACGTTTGGTTAACAGGGTGGGCACCGCCGGTGAAGGTTTCTCTGCATTTCTCAGAGCAGGGATGCTGAGGCTTGAAAAGAGAGAAGGCTGGTGCAGACCTGGGCTTTACAACCTCATCATTCGGGCTAGCTGGCTCCAAGATTTGCTTGGCTACCATTAATCTGCCTGCGGTGCTACCTGCTGTCCTTCCACGTGCCCAATTTAGACCCCCTGCTGCTTCACCTCCCCATTGAAAGGGTTAATGGAGTGCATGCTTAATTGGCAGCGCACGCGAGCGGGTGAGCCTTGCCCCATGCCTGTTACCTCCTCCGCTGGTACAATACCTGGGGTTGGCGTGGCTTCAGAGGGCAGCGCCAAGGATAGAGAGGGGAATACGAGGACAGCGTAGAAGAGAAAGGAAGAGAAAACAAAGGAATAGATAAAACAGCCAGAACACACCAACAGGAGACTCGGACCACGGCACGCAGTCAACACAGACATGAGAGAGAGGACATCAATGCGTTAGCTGCAACACATCGCCCTTCTGTGCAGCACAGACCCTTGGAGCCGGTGGCACACACACCAAGGCAGAGACCCCAGAGGTGTTGGTTCAGCAAAGCTCTTCAGCAGGTGCTTATGTCTCGTCCCAGCAAGGACAGGTTTAGACAATGAATTTTGCCTTCATTTTTCTGGTGTCACTCTAAGGGCAGGGCTTATCCTCTGCTGTGAGAGTCGGAGCCTGCCATACAGACCTCCAGAAAGCTGTATTTTGTTTGGATTTCTCAGGTGAATGAGTCTGGCAAGCAGGAAGTAACCCCTGACTGTCAATGGGTTTATCTTTCTTATACTCCTTTTATTCCAGATTCCCCTTTCACACTGCTGCACAACAGCACCACAACACCCAGCTCGCTTAGAGCTGCTAATTGCACACACACATCTGCCATTACCAGGACGTGCCTATGTTGAACTCTACCTCAGGGTTTCACGTTCTGAAATCAACCCATGCTTCATTTCTGTAACTTTGCTTGAGGATCTGACTCTCCCCAATGCCTGATGACAGTGCTCCATCCTTCCTCCATGCTGCAGGGGCTGCAGCACTCAGCACTTACCTTGGCATCCTGGTGTAGTCTGCACCCACTGCTCTCTGATACAAATCAGTTAAGCAATATCCCATCACCATTCAGGCATTTTTAATCAATGCTGTCCTTACAGTCACTGTTGCCACCATGTAGAAACAAATCCAGTCCAGCAAATGCTTAAGATAATGCTTAAGAATCTGGACCACTATCAGCACCAACGACTTCGATCCAATCCCTATGCTCTAAGCTGTTTTTTCAGCAAATCTTCTCTTTTAAGCATCACCTTCCCCTCTTCTCATATTTGCGAATGTGCAACTTTGCTGATTTTTCCTTTAGCATATGCAGCCGAATCTCCGATCCTATCGCATCAATTAGTGATGCTGGAGCCCACTGAAGAGTGTCAGGAAGCATTTCATTTCCTCTGGGTCGTCAGTAGGAATTGCTTTTCCTACTCAGAGCCATTAGTTGGGGAGGAGGAGATGGAGGAAAGGAGACAAAAACTCCATTAAATCTGAGGGCTAACTAAATCATAGGTCTTTTAGCAAATGCTGGAGAAAGGAAAGAGCCGGCTTTTGTCTCCCCGGTTCCCCCAGGGCTCCTGAACTTTCACTTAGTGTGATGAATGCCTCACAAGGGGCGTTTTATCTCGTTAGGAGTCTGGGAGCTGTGGCTCTGCAGGGGGGTGAGGTCAGCGGCTGGCTGCAGAGTGGCAAGGCAGGGGCACTGAGGTGCACCTCCTTCCAGCGGTGCAGAAATCATCAGCCCTGAATTTGGCTCTTATAGAGGCGGCTGAGATTGCGCCTGGCTGCATCACTGAGCTCTGAAGAACCATAGACTCGCTGAGGTTGGCAAAGACCTCTCGGATCACCAAATCCAACCCCAACTCATCGCCACCATGCCCACCTAACCACGTCTCTCAGTGCCACATCTCCACGGTTCTTGAACACCTCCAGGGACGGCAACCCCACCACCCCCCTGAGCAGCTGTGCCAATGTATCACCACTCCTCCTGAGAAGAAACTGTTCCTAATATCCAAACCTAAAGAGACATATTTAAGGTAATCAAGCAAGAGCACACAGGACTGCCTGCCCATTGCTGCAGTAGGTAGCAGACATACACCAGTTACCTGACACTGGTTTCTTTGGGCTGAGGATCATTGGATCCTCTGACCTGCACTTCTTGGCCAACGCTTGTATCATCACCAGCAACCCAGTGCCAGGAGCTGCCCTGCACTCACCTTCATTCAGCAGTGCTGGTGACTCTTCCACTATGACTTCTCCATCTCCCACCTGTGTCCGAGCACGCAGGAAGAATCGATAGCGCGAGATGGGGTCTGTCCTCTGCACGGTGAACCTTGTCTGGTTGGGAGAGAAGTTCTCTACCAGGGTTCTGCCCGTTTTGGATCCGTTAACTGGGGAGGAAAGGCAGGTGGTGGTGGCTTCAGCTTGGGTTCTGCAGTATGTTACCTGTCCCCAAGGGCAGGACCTGCAGCTGGGGGCAGATATGCCTTGTCTGGGAACATGCTGCTGGGGACATTCAGGGTTGTGGAGGTGGTTAAGGAAAAGCTTAGCACAAGTGTCAAGCATTCAGATAAAACCGGGCTCCCCAGACGTCACACTGGGCCACACACTGTGCAGCATCATGTACTGCAGGAGCCTGAGGTCAAGCTGATTTCCCTCGAGGGGCTGAGGGTGGAGAACTACTGAGGATCCACAGCCCTCTGTGTTCAACTGTGAGCTGCAGGTGCCCAGCAGCACTCCAGGACTCAGTACCATCAGCTGATGTTAGAAGCATCCCACTCCCTATAGATTGCTTTTGGTGTTAGGCAAGGAGGCAGCTCAGCAGCAAGGAAAATACTGAATGACTTAGCTATTGTCACTAAGAAGATAAGATGTGGAACGTACAGGCTTGGTATCTAAGGTTGTATCCTGTGAGGACTCCATTGGGGTGTTCTGGGTGATCCCACTCCAAATTGATGCTTTCCAGATTTGGCTGTCGGATTCTTAAGTACCTGGGGGAGCTGGGCACTTGGGAGGAGGACGGGAGCAGGAAGAAAAGGGAAAGAAGAAAAAACATACAAGATAACATACCTCACAATACTGTACACATCGCAGGCTGCCTGATAAAACTCAAGACATTCAACCACGTACAAACACACTCTAAAGGTCAGATGCTGACAGAACAACAATCTAGGCCAGGAATCATGCTCCAGCCCTGTGTTACCAGCAGCAGAGCAGCTCAGCATGCACCATGCCCTCACACTGGGGACTGCTGTCCCCCATCACCACGCTCAGCCAGGCACCCACCATGGATGCTGCAGCCACGCAGGGAGCACTTTCACAGTTGTGTCCCTTTTCTGTATGTTGTTTGCATATTTTACTGCTGCTGGAGTCTTGTTACTGCCCCTGCTCTCACCCAGCCCCATGTTTATGCCTCATCTATTTATCTGCTGGCATGATAGAAAAAGCAGAGCGACTTCTTCCTGCAGAGCATCTTTGTGTTATTAACGTCTGGGGAGCTGTAACGGGGATCCGGTGCAGGTATACAGCAGTCCTTACCCTGAGGAATGTCTGCTTTTATGGCTGCTTATTCAAAGCTAGTAAAGGAAGGAAAGCATTATGACCTATGGAATTTAATTATTCTCCTGGTTTATTCCTAATCGCTGTGCCTTTAAGTGGGGAAAGAGCTTGGTTCACCGATCTGAGAGATTAATGACTTTTTTTTTTACTCTTAAATGGAAGTTTGGCAGAATATCCATCTCCCAAGCATCAATATATAGCCAATAAAATAGCTTAGTGGAACAGGAAGAAGAAAATCAATAGTTTACATATGCCAAGAGCATTATCCCAATGCGACATGCCTCCAGCCCCTAGGTGAGCTCTAAATCAAGGCACACCCCACCACCAAGCTGCTGTCCCGGAACAGAACTTCTCCTTTTTAAACAAGCTGAACTGAAGCTGGTGAGTGAAAAACATCAGAAAATGGTGACAGCATCCAAGGAAAGGGCGCAGGAGAAAGAGAGAGTGCTCTCGTGCAGCAGGAAGAAGAAAAAGAAGAGCCCATCGTATTTTGTGTTATTTGAGGCAGGATTTGCTTCCAGCCTCCTCTGTTTCTTTCCCCTGCAATTCCGTAACGCACTGTGCCAAAAACATCTGTGCTAAAGAAAGATTCATGGGCAGCCGCTGAAAGCGCCGCTCCGACAAAAAGTTATCGGCGCCTCTATAAATAGCTCCCGTGACAAGGAGAAAATTAAAATCTCCCATTCCTCCTTGACACGAGCTCTTTGCAGAGCAGAACGAGGCGCTCCCAGCTGAGCAGCCCAATCGGAGGTTGGTGACATTCGTTCAGTCCTGAGGTCTTGCAGGGATTTGACTGAGCGGCGCCGCAGCGCGGGGAGGGCGGGCGATGCGTGGAGGTCAGGCAGCAAACCAAGGGCACGGCACAGCCCGAGCAATGCCTCTTTATGTGCTGTTGGCCAAATCACAGCTCTGCTGCAGAGCTGTGCTCCTCCTGGTTGGCTCTGCAGAGCCTGAGCTGCCCGAAATCGCAGCTCGGCAGGCACGTACCTCCTTCAGGTGTGGGGAACTCCTTGACTTCGCTGCGGGGCCCATCGCCTCTCCCGTTGGTTACAACCATCTCAAGCTTGTAGTTGCTGTAAGGGAACAGCCGGGACACTATGCCCCGGTTTCGGTCTCCAGGAAAACTCACATACTGTCTTTTTTTGGAGACCCACAGGTTCTTCAGCAAACTACTGTCTCTCCAGAAATAGGCCTTCAAGAAACACGCATGGCATGAAGCTTTTCCCATTTGAAATGCAATTGGTTTTCATTAACAAAGCGCAGCTGAACTTTGCTTTTGCAAAGAGCAAAGCGGAGCTCTTCACCTCCCAGCAAGGCAGGTGGGGAAGCACTGGGTTAGGATTAAGGTTAGGCTGCAAAGAGCTGCTTCTGGCTCCAGCTCTCATTGCTGGGCACTGAGCTCTCCCTTCCTGCCCAGATTAATGTTAGGCAAGGCGTGACACGTCCAACCACAATGAGAAATCAGAACTTGGAGAGTCTGTGAATCAGAGCCCCGACAGCAAATCTTATTTCATGCAGAAATAAGATTCATTTGGAAAACAGACCAGAAGAACAGAGCAGAGGGAGAAGAAATGAAAGCAGCAAGCAGGGAGCTCTCCTTACACTTGGTGACTGATTGGAATTGAAGTGTTATAGCTGTCTGCAGCACAGATGCTTTTGGTATCAAGAGTCTTTAACTCTGCTCAGAGGGGCTCTGTTCAGACTTCGTTTGCTTTGAATAGGGTTTATCTTCTACACATAAACACAGGTATTTTACTGTAGCAGTAAATCTTCAACATTAGATGTTAAAAAAAAAAAAACAACAAAAAACAGGATCTATGCTGCCTCTAGTTGCCAGTTAGTACCAAGTACTGGGTTTAGGTTTTGCATGGTTGGTGTCTGTTAAAAGACAATGGTGGTACTTTGGGGATGACACAAAATTGAGCCTGTTTGTTCCTATCTGAAGAAGTATGAAGCAGCTCTAGGGGCAGGAGCTGCCTTAGAATCGGTCCCTTGGTGCCTAAGGGCAGTCCCTGTGTCACCCCAGTCTCAGGGAGCCAAGGGAGATTTACCCATTGCCCAGACGTGGTGAAGGGCAGCCAAAGGCTTCACTCCTGGTGCTGATCCAGAGCAGAGCTCAGCCTGAGGGATGCACCACAGCACAGGGTCAGGGTGGCTAGAGCAGTTTTCTGTCATCCCCATTGCAGGTGGCTCCATCAGCGGGGCCAGCTCAGCTAGTGAGAAGGTTAGCCATATTAATAGACAGTGAGAAGAGATTTGCTTTGGCTCACTCTGTACTCCTTAAGCTGTCCCTGGATGGTGTCCAGGTGCACACGGGTCCATGTCAGAGCAATGGCAGTGCTGTTTAGAACTCTTATCCTAACATCCGTAGGTGCAGCCTTGGGATCTGGGTGTTTGGGGACAAAGCAGAGCATATATCAGGCAACCAGCCCAGCCCAGCCATGCTCCAGCTCTGCCATCTGCTGGTCCCCTGACCATCCTCAGGTTTTTCATGGGGAGAAATTGTGGCCGTTTCTCCCTCTTTCAATTCAGTTTCAGAGGAGCAACAATAGGCCAGTTCTGGACACGTTGGCTGTCCTCCTTTGGGTCAAGTAGACACTATGGCTGCACCAATGTATGTAGTATTCCATTACTTACCTTCATGCTCCACATTTTTTATCTGATCACAAAATATCCTGAGTTGGAAGGGGCCCACAATGCATGTATGCTTTTTAAGATGAGTATTTTTTAGCAGTGCTTCTACCTCTTGGTGGTCTCAAAGTCAGCCAGCAGGGATCCCTGCTGATTTGAGGCACTGAGAAGAAATGATTTATATTTCTTTTAAAATAAAGTTGTTGGCAGCAAGCTGCATTATCCTCACAGGATCATAGAAGGGAGACCTGGATACTACAGGCAGAAGGTGATACCAGCAGCCCAAAAAGAAGGGGAAAGAGAGCTGAAGAAGCTGGCTGCTCTTCTGCATGAGCAAGTGGAGAGTTTTAAAGGACATAAGTTGAGCCAGCGGTGTGCTGCAAACAGCAGTCCAAGCCTGGGCATAACTAAGGCTGTGTCAGAGGCACAAGAACCCAGCCCAGGGTGACCCAGAGCCTTCTTGGCCACTCGGAAGACCCTTCATCCAAGATGAATCAAAGAAATCACAGAATGGCCTGGCTTGACCCTAAAGGCCATCTTGTTTCAACCCCCTTGCTGTGGATAGGGTTGCCACCCACCAGACCAGGCTGCCCAGAGCCACAGCCAACCTGGCCTTGAATGCCTCCAAGGATGGAGATGAACTTGGTGCTCTGCAGATGGCAGGAGAAAGAAACGAAATGCTGGAATGCAGCCAGAGCTCATCCTGGTGAAATCTTAAGTCTTCCACACTGAATATTTTACAGAGCAAAAGGGAGAGGCTAAGTGGTTCAGGTCACGTAGGCATCTGCAGACAGAGCCCAGAGCACAACTCCGCTTCCTTCTCCCAGTGCCTGAAACTGCATTTTTGTGCCAAATGGAGCAACGCTATAAATACGACCCAGGGAACAGATGCCAACCCACTGACATTAGATGGACTCCAGCTCTGAAACACTTACGAGCTCTGTCAAAGGAAATACTCACAATCTTCCCCTGAATAGCCGATGTAGGTCTCAGGCTCTGGTGCTCTACCAAAGTCATTCTCTGCCTGCACTTTGATCTCGTAGGGGACGTAGATGGGTGTGTTCCAGACGACGTGCCGTGGCGCCTTCACTGTCTCGTTGTACCAACTCCCACGTGGGTCCCTCCGCCTCCATCGCACGATGTAACGCAGGTTGGGCCCATATGCCTGCGTTGCGTTCAGAGGCTGAATGGAGCAAAGCAGAGAAAGAAAGTTGAGAGAGAAAGACGGCTGGATTTCTCTGCTCTGGTGCTCCGAAAAGTTCTGTTCAGCAGCTGATTCGTATTTCCATATTCCCTCAGTAAACCTCTAAGATCTACATTTTTTTCCCCCAGAAACACTTATCCTGGCATTCCAAACCCAAGGCAGAACCAAAAGCCATACTTGCATGGAGTTCGGGTAGTACAGTTAGGTTCTGGTTGGACTTGATGATCTTGAAGGGCCTTTCCAACCTGAGCAATTCTTATGATTCCATTCTATTCGTTTTCCCGTCCGCACTCAATTTCCAGCCTACCAACAGACTTTGGCTTATTGCAGGATGACACCTACTGGTCGACCAAGAAAACCAAGAGCTGCTCTGTCTGAGCTCTGCACATCTTTGCTGAAGGGACCACACTCTGCAAGCATCCTGACTAACCAGCACCTGTGATCCAGCACCTTTCCTTTGTCTATTTCTAAATCACAAGCCTTCTTGTTGGCACTAACAATTAATAGTCGTATCTTCTGCCTTTTATCCTTTGTGATAATTTTTTGTGTGATACATCACACACACTAGAGACCCTGAGCTCTATCTTAGTATCAGGGACCGTAATGATAAGATTGGATTGCAGAGAACAGTCAAGGAAGAACTCACCGTCCAGGTTATCTCCATGTTGTTTTTTTGGGTCCCTGCTCCTTGAACTCCCGTTGGGTTAATTTCAGGTCCTGAAATTCACATGGGGAGAAAAAATAAATAAAGTGCTGGAAAAAATGACCCTTTCTGTGGTTAAAACCTATTTACAGCGCAGGTCAAAATTAGTTCCAAAACAGAAGTTAATAGCCTGATTTTCCAGAAGTTTCAAGTTCCCATTCAGGTTAATGGAACACGAGACTTTCCAGCACTCTTGAAAACCAGGTCGCTTATTTAGGATCCTTCACTTTTTTTTTTTTTCTTTCCTTTCTCTCTCCCAAAATCTTGTCCTAAATCTTTAAAAGACACCCATTGTGAAGCAACCCCAGGAGCCAAGTCTGACCCTTTAGAATCATCCACAGCGAGAAGAGCAATGTCAAAACCCAACACTAGATGCCAGCAGATATTGCATCTACAAAGGTCAAATGGAGACATGCAGCAAAACTGCTGAGCTTCCTGTGAGCTTCTCATATGACTTTTCCCAAGCATTGTCCAATGCACAAAGCTCCAGGCACACTCCAAAGACTGAGCCTTGGTTGTGGACTGCAGCACACTTTATTCTGGCATAAGCCTGGGCTCCTGTCTGGCTTTAGCAGCAGGCAATGAATTAGCAAATTTGGAACAAAATGTCTTTTGCTCGTGGCCACTTTACACTTGGAAGTCTGTTTTTCCAAGAGCTTCCTGTGGTCAGGAAGGATGAAAGATTTCTTTTGGAAAGCTTCTCTGTGTGGTGTGACTAGCCTTCCTTCAACAGATTCTGCCAGAAGAGCCACTGGGTAACTCATGCCTGCTGCTCCACAGGACCTCCCTCACAGCCTTGAGGTGCAATTTATGAAATCACCCCCCAGCACACACCTGCATGGACCAGCTCACCCCCTTCCTGTACCCAATGAGGGGAAAAACTCAGCCCAAAGCGATGGCAGCAATGGGATCCACCCCAAGGTGCTGCAATGACCGCTACTCACGTGCACCGCTGGTCTGGTATCGTTCCGAAGGCGTGCTGGGCAGGCTGCTGCCCACGTCGTTCACTGCAATCACCCGAAATTGGTAGTTGACGTAAGGAGAGAGGCTCAGGACGGCCGAGTTGACATTCCCAGGATACCTGGAGTGGTTGTGCCACGTGCCGGGCTGGAATCGGTCCTCCTCAAACTGGACGATGTAGTCTGAGGGGAGGATGGAGGAATCAGAGCCCACCATGAGGAGGTTTCCCCACACCCCACAGGAGAAGACCGAAGGATCCGTGGCTGTGGGGCCGGCACTGACCTGTGATGGGACTGTTGTTGTCATCTCCAGGAATCCACGTCAGCTTCACGCTCCTCTCAGCCAGGTCTGACAGCTCCAGGTCCCGTGGCCGGTCGGGTCGCTCTGGTGGCCAAATAATGAGATAAATGAGGCTGAAACATCCCAGCAGCATCCAATCCCACCCCTTCTCCCGGCCTGGACCCACAGGAGGAGACGTGCTTTGCAGCGTGTCTCACATCCCTCTGCTCTCAGTGTGTTTTGTTACTAAATACAAACGTGCTCATGTATTAATTGTGCCTTGCCTCGTAACCTGAGCTGCCCTCTGTATGCACTGACATTATCTGGTGCTGGGAGCACGATGGTGGCTTAGCAGGATATATGATCTTACAGCACACTGCATGCAACCGTTCAGAAAGTAATTGCAAATAGAATGGGAAGGACACCAAACCTAAATGAAAATACATACTTGGTTATTGCGCTGCGGGCACAATTCCGCTGTCTTGTCACAACACACTGAGCCACCTCATGCACCAACAGTAACAGCAGCACCTTATTTTCATATAAAAGTCAAGGGATTCAACATGATTTATTTTCTCTACTCTCAGGGCTCATTTCCAGCTATGGATAGAGTGATTCTTGCACTCTAGAATTGTCACCAGTCTAGATGTCAAAAAACGAGATGTCACATTTCTACTATGGCCATCTGGATGGGTTCTTGAGGACAACTTGAGCTGGACATGGAAGCACCATCTCCCAGCGTGCTCAATCACTACACCTTGATTTTCTGTTGGCGTTATTGGCAAGGCAAAAAAAAAAACAAATCAACTCCCAAAAGAAAAGAAACCGAATGAATTAGTGATGATTACCTTTAGGTAACTCTCTCAAACGGTTAGCAGGGATTGCTGCAAGGTAAGACATTGGATGTTAACAGTGTTAGTTGAGTCATTAAGCTTGGGTGGTGAAAGGAGAACCTGGTAAATACAAAGTCACATACAGTCACAGATCCCACCTGGGGACCAGAGAGAGCACATCCTTCCCCCAGAGACCCTCAGCTCCGCACACCTTCTTTCACGTTTCTATTAGAAAGTTAATTAGCTATTAGGGGAACAGGAAGGGAAATAAATTAAGCCCAGTCATATTATTAGGGGTATGGGATTTGTATTGCACTCCTGCTCTGGTATGGCAGTGTGGGTCTATGCCAGCATCACCGTTGGGTTGGGGCACTGCCAGAAACAAAGTTCCTCCTCAAGAATGGAAGGGGTTGAAGGCAGGGACTGATAGACTTGGGATGTTTTCAGAGTAGATCTGGCAGTGAATGGGTATGGAGGGTGGGTTTTGGGTTGAAAAGGGGGGGGCCTGCAAGCAGTTCACTCACCCCCTGGTTGACAGCACCCTGAGATTCAGATAAGTTCACTTGCAAATATGAGCTTCAGCAGGCCACATTTGGGTATTTTTAGCTGTATGTAATAACTGCTTTTCTCTTTGTGTCAAAGGCAAGTTTCCTTCAACAGCACTGAGAGAGGCTGAGATCGGGCTGCACATCCTTGCCAAGTCCTGCAGCAACCCAATAATTGCTCTGCCAGCAACTGAGCATCATCTCTGCTTTAGAGGACAGCCCCGTGCCCACAGATCCACCTTTCGGTGTAAAATCAACCTCCTGCAGTGCAGATGAAGCACTGAGTGCACTGGGAGGACAGCCTTACCTAGCACGGTGAGGTAGGCTTTAGCTGAGTCCTTGTCCAGCTCCGTGCTGGCCACGCAGGTGTAATCACCCTGATCCTTCTCAGCCACGCCGTATATCGTCAGACCATCGTCTTCTTTCTTCATCCTTAAAGGGATGAAAGCAATAATCACACCACTGTTCCCAAGAGAATTAAGGAGCAGGATTGAAGACGAGCTGTTCTCTGATAAAATACACAAAAGAGTCCAAAGAGAAGAGGAGTACATCTCTGGCCTGAAGATTTTATCAACTGGGGATGCACTGAGTTATTCTTGGAAACCTCATTTTCTAAAGAACCAGTGAATTTGCTCTGGTATTTATCTGGAAGAGTCACACTTTTGGGAAAGCAGGCTGACCTCTGACCAGCTCATGTCCTGTGATGACATCTCATTATTTCACAAGAAGTGATTCGGGATGTGGAAAGGAAATTACAGCTACACCACTGGCACAGATAAACATTAACTTTGGAGGAGCTTGTTATTAACCTGCCTGTTTTTATCAAGATGTCCTAAAATATCTGTAAATAAAGCCTAAGGTCGATGTCTTGATTTACTGGTAAGTCAATTTTAACTGCTAGGCAGCCTCACTATTATCCTCAGCTAATAACATTACAAGTATCAAGAACAGTCGTCGTCGCCCAGATGGGAACTCAGTGTTTGTCCTTATTATCCCTGGTGCCTCCTGAAACACTTTGCAGTGGGGGAATAAAGATCCTGGTGAGAAGACAGATGGAAGCGTTCATCACAGACCTGTTCCCAATGTAGAGAGGAGCGTCGTCCTTCAGCCAGGTGACCGTCAGCTTCAACGTTGGGTCGTGCTTCACGCGGCAGTGCAGGCGAGGCATGGAGCCCCTCTTCACCACCTGATCTTCAGGGCCTCTCACAATCCTGGTGGGGTCTGCAAAGCACCCCAAAGGAAGTATCAGCATGTCAGCTTGGAACTCGATCAGAGCTTAAGAGTGGTGTCACTCGGTAGGACAAGCATGCATGACGGCTGCTCGCCTCTAACCACCTCTGATACAGATGCTTGCAAACAAACTACTTTAACAAACCACTAATTCATGCTGAAAAAATACCAACTTCTCTGTCTCAGCAAAAAATTTGCTCAATGGGGGAAAAAAAAAAAAGATTCTGAATATATTTTAGTGCCATCAGTTATTCCTGATGCATCTTTTGTGTTTCTTTTTGCAGTGCTCACAGCTCAAGCTGCGAGATTCAGGTGATCCAAGAGCATCTTTTGCTCTTGAGCTCATTGCATTCCTACCTTTGACTTCCAGGCGAACCTGGGCCTCAGCTTTGCCCAGGATGTTGGTGGCAACACAGGTGTAGATGCCCTGATCCTCCTTCCGAGCCATGCTCATCTCCAAGCTCCCGTTCTCATGTGCTTTGTAGTTCCCTCCATCCAGCGTGTTCCCCTGGCCGTTCTTAAACCTCACAGCCATACAAAGTACTGTTGTAAGGGAAGAAAGAGCAGGAAACCGCCTTCCCAGCCCCATGGGTGGGCAGGGGATGTGCTACACTCCTTACCATCGCAGGGTGGGGATGGGTGAGCCAAAGAAGGGGCAGTCCAGCCGGGTCCTGTTGTACTGGATGACTTTGATGAGCTGGTTGCGAGGGGCCAGTATCCGTGGTGGCACATCTGCAAAGCATCAAAGATGACAGCTATTGAATGAGTGGACTCGATGCTCTTAGTGGTCTTTTCCAGTCTTAACAAATCTATGACTCTACGGCTCTACACTGAGCTTTTCAAGACTTAACAGAGCTTTTCCATCCCCTTTCCAACCTCACTCTGTGAAACAGAGGTGCTCCAAGAGTGCTGGCTGGTATATGGCTACCAACTTTTATCCCGAAGCCCCATTGCAGAGGCCACCTACCCACGTGCATCATTCTCAGAGTAGCTAACAGCACAGAGAATATAGGGATAACTTGCAAGGAAATTTGAGTACAGGGCATTTATCTTCCACAAGAATGGAAGCATTAACCATCATTCTGCATGGAAAAGCATTTCATGAGCTGACACGCTGCTGGATTCTGATGGTCACTCCTTTTGAGAGAGTTTCCTTCCTCATCCATGTGCACTAGGGCTCACCTGTCCACACAGGCACCTACCCAGGACACTGACAAAGGCATTGGCAAGGAGGTAGCCGTGCTCGTTGGAAGCATTGCACTGGTACACAGCGCTGCTGCCGATCTGCGTGTCTCGAAACACGATGGTATCTCCAGCCACCTCTCTGCTTGGGTTGGGTGGAGAACCTTCAAAATAAGGAAGACAGAAAGGATGCTTTTCATTATATTTTAAATTGAAGCTCACAAGATGTTGCATTTTATTACTCATCTTTACATCTCAGACCAGATAAAAAGAGACAGTGGCATGTTATGGACCTCCAGAGACACGGCTCAGCTGGCCATGATGCAGCCAAGCCGTGCCCCACTGGCAGCTCTGGCTCCCATGGTCAGCCACGAGACCCTTGGCTTTGTTTTCATATAGGAGGTGCAGACTCTTCCTGGCTCACCTTCAATGGGCTCTCCATTCACCAACCACTGGATTGAAGGCTTGGGGTTCCCATTGGCTCGACACACCAACCTGCCATCCTCACCAGGGGCCAAAATGAGATTTTGTGGCTCATCCAGCCAATACGGGGCAGCTTTAAGACACACAAATGGAACAGTTACACACAGAGCAAACTGGAGCAGATGGCCTCCAGAGGATCCCAAGCTCCCCTCTCAATTTCTGGCTGTGAAAGTGAAGGAGATGGTGAAGTAAAAGTGACGTACCCTTCACTCTCACCGAGATCGTGTGGCGGATGCTGCCCATCTTGTTGGATGCCAGGCAGAAATACTCCCCAGAGTCTTCCTCCGAGACGTTGGAGATACGAAGGGCCTTGTTAAAGTTTTCCAGCTTGGTTTTGCCCACTGGGAGCTCACCTCCCTTCTTGTACCACATGATATCTGGTGCTGGTCTAAGGAGAGGGAAGGAAATAAAAGCTCTTGCAAGACAACTTTCCTAATACAAATCCTGCACTTAAGACCTTCTAAACCCAAGGAGAAAGACCTCCGGGCCACTCTTTTACCTACCACAGCCCCTCCACTAGGACCTGAACATCACCAGATGGTGAGGAGTGGGATTTTTGTCCTACCTTGTGCCTGGGAAGTGCTGCCAAAGTCCCACCCCATGCCCAGGACAATTCTGCTTGTACTACAAACATCCTCACCTGCACTTAATACAGTGTGCAAAAGGGCCACCCAAGAGATCTGCAACTCCCTGTAAGGACAAATTGATGGGGCATCATCTTTGGACAGCAAGTATCTGAAGATACCTCTTGCTCTGAGCAGTGCTGCAGAACTCAGCTCTCCTGTCTGCTTTCATCATCCTACCCTTTCAGTAAGTTACAGGAATATTGTTAATAGCAGTTAATAGAAAATGAATGGCGTGCTCCATTCATTGCTGGTATTTTCACCAGCAGTTCAGCATTAAAGCTATGAGAGCACCTCATGGGGGCTGCTGGTGACCACCCACTCCCATCATGGTACGTACACTCCTGATGCAATGCACTCCAACAACAGGTCCACCCCTCGGAGCACCATCTGGCTGCTGGAGGTCCCATATGGGTACATGAAGCTGGGTGTTGTTTCTGTAACCCCTCGGGCTGAGATCAGCAGGAAAGAAAATCAAGAAGAAAAAAAAACACAAAAACAGAGCACTTTTAAATTCTCCTTGTCTGCAGCATCGGAAGGGTTCAGGGTTCAGCAACAGGATTCACCCAGAAATATACCTGAAAACTAGAGAAGGGCTTAAAGTCACTTTTAAGGTAAGAAAACATAGTGGAGAGAGGATGCTTCGCAGGCAGGGAGAAGAAAGAAGAAAAAGGATGGGCCGGGGAAACAGAACCATGGGGATGGGGCAACAGGAGAGCCCAGATCCCTAGCAGGGCAGTGCCAACCCTGCTCACCCTACCTCCAGCATGGGGCTGGAATCAGATGAGACATGGAAACACTGATGGACAGAACACTTAGTGAAGGACAGTAGTGACAAATGGGCACAAGAAGGGTACATGAGACAGCTGAGCCACGGAGATCCCCATGGGATGGAGGATGCCAGAGCTCTGGCAGCATCATGTAGGTTCCCACTCTTACTGGGAGCTGCTGGGCCTGGAAGGATGGAGCTGTCTGGGGATGGAGCAGAGCTGAAGACATTGGGATGGGACAGGAACGTTTAATGGGAAACAACCAGGGGAGAGACAAGACAGCTCCCTACAAATACACACAGCGGAGGTCTCTTTGTGAGAGAAAAAAAAAATTATTAATGGAATAGTTTCCATTAATAAATGGAATCATTACTCTAGATGTGGATCAGTGAAGACAGCGTGGGATGAGATGGTCTCGAAAGCAGCAGTAGCAGAGATGGAGGTTATGGGATTAGGACGTGGGGTGAGATGGGTGGGTTTGACACAATCTATTTGGGCAAATAGAGAATTGGGGAATGCCCACCCTGGGGCAGGAGCAGGCTCTTGGGGTCCTTTCCTGCTGGCCCAAATGCTTCATTAGCCAAATGAGCTATTTGGGAAATCTCTGAGCTCTGATACAAAGAAAAGGGCTGGGAAGATACAGGGGAGAGAGAGAGCAGAGACTGTTTTTGGAACTCAATCAGGAAAAGCTCGTGACCAGGCCCCTCAAGAGAAATTAAAATTAATAATAGTAATAAATCAACAGGAAGGAACTCATCCCTTCAGACTGACTCCACATCACTGGGGAGCAGCCACACTCACGCACCACTCTGCTCTCACACACCCACATGTTAGCAGCAGGAGGTGCTCGTCAGAGAGTTAGTTAATTACTTGATTAATGGATTACCAGGGGCAGGCGTGCTGCTGTTTGCTCGCCTGCTTCGGAGATGCTGGTTTTCCTGGTTGGGATCACTGCCCATGTAATGCCTTGCAGATCAGTGCTGAGATTTCAGGTCTGTGTTTATCAATCATTTTATGAGTGAATATTGGCTTTTATCTGCCAGCAACATGTAGCCCATGTGAATGGGCCATATGCCTTAGTCCTGCCACGAACCATTTGCTTGGGGCACAACGAGAAGAGATAAGCAGCAGCGCAAGCCAAATTTTACGAGCCGTGTATTAATGATGAACATTAAAACATAAGGGAGATAAATTAGTATGCTATCCACTTGTTTAATAAACCTAATGACAACACTGCTTAGCTGAGCTTTGCCTTAGCACAGCACTTTAAGTAAATATTTTGCTATTTCTAATGGGAAGAGGCCTGCGATGATCTGGGGCAGAAGTTCCAGCTCTGATCTCATGGCACTACAGCTGGAAGCTGTTAAACAGCAACGTCTCACTCCTCCACATGGGTGGAACTGACTGCAAGAATAAATTCTACGGCTATTCACTGGAAGCAGAGCTCAAGAATGTGCTCTGCTTCTAATATGTTACCACTACTGATCCCACCTCTGTGGAATTGGACCCATTCAACTGCAGAAGGGATATTCCAGAAACTGCCAGTGTCCCCTCCCCAACATCCTGACCTGACAGCACATCAGGTTCTACATCAACCCGCAGATTGTTTCTGCTAAAGGCAATGATAGAAATATGTGCATCCCAACACATCCATCTCTCGCCTCCTGCCCCGCTTGCCAGCCTGACAACATCCCACAGATTTGCCAAAACAGCACAAATGAAAAAGGACAAAAGATTTTCACTTCCATAAGAAGGTGATGAACTTCAGCTGATGAAATTCCCAATTAATCATTCTAGACCTTTTATCTCCCTGGCTGACATCCACCTCCCTTTTCCCTGAACACACCAACGCAGCAGGAGATGAAGGCACCCCCTCCCAACCCACGAGGACTGCAGACACCAGAACATAAAGGCATTCCTTCCACAACACAACCATCCACGCTGCTCTGTGCTTGGAGGAGCTGCATGTTGTGTTTAGAGGAGATCCCACCGCCGTGTGCCCACCAGGAAGGCATCTCCTCCCACGTGCCCCTCACTGAGGCGTCATTCTGTTTATGGAATTCACACTGATGTTAATTTTGCTTGTTTCACAGCCATTTCTGTGAGTGTTGCAGACCATGCCCAGCCTATTTGCTGTCCCCACTTCCTCCAATTATGCTTCACGCTCAGATCTTCCAGAAGAACCTCTCACCCAAACCCCAACTCAGCAGGGAACGTTGCCCCATTGCAGAAATATGTGAGGAGTAAGGGAGAAATCCCCATGTTTTGCAAAAAAAAAAAAAAAAAAAGGACACTGCAATGTAAGATCTGGCTAATCTCAACCTTTTGAAGGCAGCAAGAACTTGGGCCTTGCTCCCAGGCAAAGCACGTGCTTCAAGCAGAGACAAAAACCAAGAGGCCAATAGCTGCTAAGCACCACCTGAACACATTCACGTGGCACAGAAGGGAAGAAATGGCAGATGGGCAGAGAGGAAAGCCCACTGGTTCCTGGGGATGCTCCCAGCAGCGTGCTCCATTCCCCCATGCAGACCCACCCCATCACCTCCCCAACACCTCCCAGCTCCTCACAGGAGCTGTGAGCTCATGTGCCAGAACAAGAGCTGATGGGATATGGCTAGTGGGCATGTTGGGGATGGGTTGATGGTTGGGCTTGGTGATCTTAGAGGTCTTTTCCAACCTTAAGGATTCTATGGCTTTGGGATCACATAGCCTCCAGGGACAGCCTCCCCGCTGGGGTAAGTGGAAAAGCACTCAGCACAGGTATAACAGTGCCACAGAGAAACAAATGGCTGGGAAAACCAAATATTTGGATTCTTCCTCCTAATGGTCAGTGCCCATGCTTGGCTGCAAGCACAGTAGGTGCTCATTCTGAATGCAGACAAAGAGGGATGGTGGCTCTAGTATCTCAATCAGGAGGACGAGGCAGTGGAGCCAACCACCAGCTTTCCCACTTAGCCCTGATCCTATTAAGCCAAATATCTCTGGAGCTGAGCTCGGTGTATCCAATTAATTAGCTTAGCCCTCGATCATTTTTAAGATGTCAAAACTCGGAGGGGATTTGGGCTGCTGGGCTGTTCCCAGCCCACTTTTGGTGACGTTTGGGGGGGGACGAAGCACAGAAAGGACCACACGCACACATCAGGGCTGTGCACACGGGGATGCTGCCGACGCAGCCCACGCTGGGTTAGCACGGGATCAGTCAGGTTAGGCACAGAGGATTACAAACGTGAAGGTCTCCAGAAGCTGCTGTTGACTCACCACTGTACATGTCAGTGTGATTTCGTAAGGACGTTTCGTTATGGGGTTTCTCTGCAATAAACAAAAGACCGTGAGCATACCGAGCGGCACAAAGCAGCGGTGGAAAACAGGGATGGGGCTACATGGGGACCAGGGAGCACAGAAGCAAACAGAGGTGCTCGGAGCCTTGGGAGACAAACAGCAACAGAGCACAGTGGTGCGGGAGGGGAAGAGAAGATTGCTTTCCTCCTACGAGATGGAGAGACAAATAAACGTGTGATAAATATCACCTAACTTGATCATAAACGTTTCCTCCAAGTGTTTTTCCTTTGGTATAAAGGCAACGTTGGCAAGAATTAATTCAATTTGGGAAGAAAATATGTTTTTTTCTCTCAGTTAACTGTGAAATAAGCGTGCTCCTGCTATTTCTTTCCAGCACAAAGAATGGGCTGGATGCATCGAGGCAGCAGTGTAATGATGCAGAAAGGCATGGAGAGGGCAAACAAATAAAAATGATAACAACAATTAAGCTTTAAGAGCATAATCTGCTGTAAAAACCCCTTTCAATTCCCAGGTAATTGAAGCAAATTGTGTTATATGCAAAAACAGCAGCTCCTCATAACACACCGCTCTCCCTCACTGACAATTGCTGACACCTAGGTGAGCACAGCTGCTAATTGCCAACAGAGCTCCACTGGGTAATGAGCAGAACAGAGAGCACCCAGGGCACAGCCTGGGGCCCAAGACACAGCAGAGATGCTCCACAGGAAATCCTTCCAGGATTTCTTTCACTTCTTTTTCTGGAGCTGGACCAATATACCAGGCTGAAAACGTCTGAGACCCAAATGAACACTGGTTTTTCGCTCTCCACTTTGAGCCTGAGCTCATTCAGGGTTCAGTCCTTCAGTACGAGGCAAATTTTGGCATTATTCAGCCAGCTTCTCAACCAGACAACAAGTAACCGGAGCGAGTTACATGTACACCTTCCTCACCATTAGAAAAGTGCCCATTTGTAGTATTTGCTTTGCTACTTCTCGTGCTTTGCACAAGGAGAAGGTGTTACACCAGAAGTGCAGAATGCTCCAAGCCCAGCCTGCTGCTCACATCACACCTCAGTGCCAGGTATCAGAACGCTTTAATAGTGTTACCTCCTATTAAGCAACAGATGAAGCTCCTGGTGCCAGGAATTGGGAGCCAGTGTCCCCAGGCCCCTAAGGCTCTGCTCCCCCTGCTCCCACCTCCCAGAACTGTTCATCAGCTCCTGGTCATGGTGAACCCCAAGACTTGTTGGTCAGCAATGAACAAACACTCAGTCCCCCCCATGCAGCACCATAGGGCGTCCCCACAAACCTAAACCTAGAGCAAAACACGGCTATCTCCAGCCATCCAAATTAGGGAAAAATCACTTGATATTGCACTTCTCCCTAAGGATGGAGGGAATACACCATCCGTGCCCATCTCAGAAACTCAGCAGTACCCACACTGAGCAATCTCTGCAGCCCTGGGGCACTGCAAGGGAACAAGCCATGGAGTCAGTCTGAGTCCCATCAGTTCTTAACCGGACTTCTATCCTGATCAAAACGAGGGAAGACACTCTTTTCTTTGGTAGGACTCAGAGCTGTCAAAGACTGAAAGGAGAACCCTACCCAAGAGGTTGGCAGAGCTCCATCCTGGCTGACAACCATGACACTTACTGGTTTTCACCTTGAGGGTGTAGGGATTTTTCTGCTGGATGGTGTGGGTGAAGTGGAATCGTGCATTGCAGCTGTAGTCAGTCTGGGCATCCTGCAGCATGACATTGGAGAAGTACAGGTCACCGTTCTGGCCCTGGGAGACACGCTTGTCCTGGTGGATGGGCTCCATGGCTGCAAGGGAAGAGGCATTCAGTTAACCAGGACCTCCTGAACACGTGAAGGCAAAAAGCAACTCCCAACTTAAACCATGCGTTGGTACCACCAAGCTGTGAACTGGCAACGGTGGCTCCAAAGGTAATTATTTCAAACTAACACTGCAGGTGCTTGAAGGGAGTGAGGGTTCATGATGGAAAAGGCTTCCCCAACTCACAGCTGCTCATCCAGAAGATGACAGGAGGAGGCAGACCAGGAGGTGGGTTGCACTGCAGGCTGAGTGGAGAACCTTCGTCAACCTCAATGACATCCACCTTCTCCTTGGGCCACAGGGGAGATCCTGCCACGAGAATCACAGCACTGCATGAGGAAGGTAGGTATTCACTCTGAAGATCTTCTCCCTTCCCACCGGACCTGGCCTGGTTTCAATGGAATGGCCTCAATGCAGAGAGGGAAGCCTTATTTCTGTGTGTGCAAGTCTTATGGGGAGCAGCTGAGAGAACTGAGATGGTTCAGTCTGGAGAAGAAGAGGTTTAGGGGAGACCTCATCTCTCTCTACAGTTCCCTGTAAGGAGTTTGTAGCGAGGGGGGAGAGGGGGTAGGATATCAGGAAGAGTGGTCAGGCACTGGTGCAGGCTGCCCAAGGAGGTGGTGGATTCACCATCCCTGGAAGGGGTCAATAGCTGTGGAGATGTGGCACTGAGGGTCATGGGTAGTGGGCACAGCGGGGATGGCTTGGGGTTGGACTCGGTGATCCTAGAAATCCTTTCCAGCCTTAATGATTCTATGATCTTGACACAGGCAACGGATGACAGAATCACAGGGTTGGAAGTGACCTTAAAAGACCACGAAGCAGGCTGGGATGTCTGACCACTGGATTCTATCTGTGCTTCTGCTACAAAGCATCCATAGAACCGTGGAACTTCCTGAGTCTGATTTCTGCTGCTCACCCCACACAACTGTGCTTACTCACTGGACACCTGGAGGTGGATTTTGCTGGACAGTGCAGTGCCAAAATCATTCCTGGCGAAGCACTGGTACTCGCCCTCGTAGTCGTCTGGCCGCCCACCACCATGGAAATCAATGACCAACGTCCCCGACCGCCTCCTCATGGACACCTTGGGGTCCTTTGCCACGTTGAAGAACTTCCCGTTCCGTGTCCAGGAAAAGCTGTCAGCGTGGCAGAGAGATTTGTGAGGTGACTGTGGGGTGTATTTCCCTGGAAAGAGCCTTAGTTGGGTTATGCAAGTGGCAACTGGCATCTATGGCGCTGGATTTGGGGACAGTGTGGCCAACTGAGATCTGCTGTGCCCAGAAATCCCAGCACCTTCAGAACCAGTGCTAACAAACCACAGAGCTCCAGTACAGGAGCAATTCCGGGGCACTTACGTGGGTACAGGATTCCCTTTGGCTTCACATTCAATGAAGATGTTGTCTCGGGGGTCAACGATGTAGTCCTTCACAGACTGCTTGGTGATGGTGGGGGGCTGAGGCACTGCAAAGCAAATGGCAGCAGTGAGATGAGCTGCGTGAGAGGGAGAAGCCTCTCTCTGCTCTCCTGCAGCAGATCTCACCAGGATTCTGACACCTTCCCCAGTTTGTGGTCCAAAGACTTCCAAAACCACAAGCAAGCATGGAGCGCATGCTATTTCTCACCAGCCCTGTGCACCACGAATACCTTGCACCAAAGCACAGCTGGCACCAGACCCAACCCCTCCTGCCATTTTGGACATGCAGAGGACACCACCATGTTCACATAGAAGGCAGCACTTACATTCACTCTGAATACTTGCTGTTATTTCCAAAGTGCAAGCATAATGAAAAAGAAGAAAGAAGGGTTAATCGAGGGGCTAACCCCGATAAACACGCATTATGCACACAAACATGAAAACAAAACACTGTTATTGTAGAGTCTGCAAATCCTACATACGACTGGTTTAACAATTCCAGCATGTTCTAATCCACCTACTTACAGTTATATAGCAGGAAACGCTGGTGAGCACTCAGAGAATGATGGAATGATAGAATATCCTGAGTTGGAAGAGACCCATAAGGACCACTGAGTCCAAGTCATTGTTAGCTGCTAACAATGTGCAGCCTCTGGGAGGGGTGGGGGGGTCCAAAGAGGGCGTGAAATGAACTCTAGTGTACCAACATCTATATCCCATATGTAAATATATAGGTATCTATCCCATATATAGATAGATATTTAGATCCTCCAGCATCTCCAGTGCTGGAGGTGATGATGCTGTGCTGTGAGTCCATGCTGTGCAGCAGGGAGGTGACTGAAGAAGCGGTGAGTTGCAAAGACAGGCTGCCTTCAGCAGTTCTCCACCAGCTGTCAGCATTTCCCTTACTTTTCTAAGCTCATATTACACGTAAGCATCAAAATCACTCTTTTTTGACAGAAAAGCACAAGAAGGAGCAGAAGACTGCTGTTTGCAGACCTACTCAGTCATGCCCAATGGCTCCCATCTATGTACTGACTGCCTGCACATCCAAGCTGTGTTCATCTTGTCAAATTCCCAAGTTGGGAACAAGAGTGCCAAGGGCTGACCCTAGGGAACAAAATTATGTTCATCCACAATCATTTGGAACGGAGTAGAGCACGAACTCACACTCAAGTCTCGCACAGATAAGAGATTGCATGGGACCCCCACCTCAAGCTTTCAGTCGCACAAGTATTTACTTTCCCCTCAGCAAACCAGAGATTTCCCACTCTCTCTCTTCACGTTGTTTCCAAAGAACCCTGGTGCTTCAGCCTGACTACAGACAGCAGCACAAAGCAGTGCTTTTTCCACTAATGCACCGCTCGCTGGAGGATTTCTGTACATTGCACTGTCAGAATAGATTCCCTGCAGCTACAGGCTGATTATTATTAACAGCCTCTACAGGAGGAAGCTGGGACACAGAGAAATTATGAAACTGGTATCCAGACGAGTAGCTGGAACAGAGCCTCTGAGCCATGACTTAGCAGCTTGCTCTCAGTACAAACCTTCATCCCAAGTGCACCCAAAAGAGCCACACATTTCCCAGACACCAGCCTGAAGATGCTGTTTAGTAGAAACAACACCCCTTGTCCCCTTCCTCCTCACTCCATATCCTCAAACTCTCTGAATAAAACATAATAAAACATAACTCGTGTCTCATGTTTAACCAAAAATCCCAACAGAGACAAAAACTGTGGGATGCTCCACTGTAAGTCTGTAGGCTAAAGGTTTGCTGGGGATGGGCTTCTCTACCAGCTTGGTGTTCTGCCCCTTTTTGATGGGTGGCTGCAAGTCCTTTGCTCAGCTTTCGAGTCAGCAATTCAGGTGGATTTCTGGATGAAATGACTTAAAAAGTGACTTAAAAAGAAAAATATCCTAAATAGTTGGTTGGAGCAGGAGAGATGCCTGGTGTGCGTATCTCTTCACTCTGCCTCTGCAGCCCTTCAAGCAGGAAACCATAGAATCACAGGCCTTGGAAAAGACCACTGAGATCATACAACCCAACCATCAGCCCATCCCCACCGTGCCCAGATTTAGAGGGAGTAAATCAGAACTCACAATCCAGAGGGACTTCGATGGCGTTGATGAGGTGTTGGAGGCACAGAGCAAATGCAATCCCTGCACAGGTGAGCTGGTGGCTGCGCAGGACCATTTTGGATGTCAGGATAATGCTATGACCTCACCTGCTCCCCCCAGGAGAGCTGATGGCTGTTGGGTCCTCAGCTGCAAAACACAAAAAGCCAGAGGTCAGCACTGCTATGTCCTGCATTTCTCTTCCTGGGACAGAGAGTCTGCAATCTGAAAATATTTGTACAGAGGGACAAAGGGTGTTAATGGTGCCAGAATTATTTTCCAGGCCACATTTCCAGTACTCAGCCCATGGTCGCTCTCCTTCCAAGGCCTTTTTTGTTCAGTCTTTGTGGTTACCTGTGCTCAAACCCCAGAGTTCTGTTGAGTTCTCCCCAAGGAATGTTGGAAAATTGCCCTGAGAAGTGAATGCTGAACCATGTGAGCCCCGCAGGAGAAAATCAGAAGGATGGTTTGCTGTTTCACAGAACCATAGAAATGCAGAACCATGGAATCATAGCATGATTGGGTTGGAAGGGACCTCAAAGATCACCTCCTACCAACCACCCCACCGTGGGCAGGACTGCAAGCCTCTAAACCAGACGAAACAGGCACCAGATGATGTTGCCCAGGAGTCAGGAAGCTCATAGCTGAATTTCATGCACGAGACCGAACAAACAGTAAAACCCAGCTTTCATTCTGGACCGAAAACAAAGAGTTGAATTCCACTGAAGGAAGAACTGCAGAGCCAACGGGAGCCCAAAAGGTGCTCCAGCACTGCTGATGGCCATTCCCCTTCCCAAAAGAGCACTGCCTCTACACGCTATGGGAATATTTTTGGACCGACAAGAGCAGACCACAAATGCAGCATCTCTTTGTGAGCTGCTTTGCCTCTATTTTCCAGGAGGCAACAGGGCTTCAAAGCTGTGTGGGGTCAGGCAATGGGATGATGCCTTCACCCCTGCACACATCCAGGAGCCTGCAGGGACTGGCAGCGCATCGCTTGGAGTTTTCATAGACATCCATTTGATTTTGCTGTTAATAAGCACACAGACAAACTGCAGATTAAAAGAGAGTAGAAAGGAGGATGAATTATCTTATCTGTACAATAAAATTCCCGGTAGAAAGGCTGCTGCACCACAGAGGTGGCATCACAGCTGAGTTACAGCTCTGCCTGTAATAGAGCTATAACAGCCGGGCAGCAGACATCCAGACAGCTCTCAGCTGAGAGCAGAAACAACGCCAGGGCAGCAAACAGTGGAAAATCCCCAGCGCTGCTCCTTCCCATCTCTGTGCAGCCCTGCACCGTGCAGGGACGGCACCGACAGGAGAGCAGCACAGAGGCCATTTGGCAAGCAAGGAGAACCTGGGTCATGAAATATAAATCAGTCCAGCTTGGGCTGCTGCTGCTGAGCCCCAATGAGGCTGATGTGGGAGGAAGGGGGCTCAGGACAACAGACAGAAGCCGGTGATAGGTACTGCAGGGAGCCAAGCTGACAGCTGTCAGCCAGCCGACAGCCCTGACACATGGCCTGCACAGCTCTCCTGCACCCCAGGCAGGGGCACAGCCAGTGCAAGGCAGCTCCTGAGAACGTTTTTCCCATTGCCCCTATGGAGAATGGGCAGTGTTTTGTCATCCGTGCAGGGTTTTGCCCTCCCTAAAGGAGGTGCTGCTCCTGCAATGCACCCTGGAATCATAGAGATGTCTGGAAGGTTAGGATGTCTGGATGTCAGGGTTATTCAATAAGAAGGGATGGGTAAGGAGGACCCTTTGCATCCTTCCCAGACCAAATATGCAGCCCGAGATTTCTGAAGTGTTAACAGCAAGATGTTCAGCCCTAAAGATTTACCGTGAAGCATTCCTGGCCCTCTGCACACATCTGAATCTCAAGGATGGTCCAAATGAGAGCCCAGAACACATCCCCATCCCTGGGCTGAAGCCCAAGCAAAGTCACCAGCCCTCTGCGTCCCCGTTACACCAAATTATGGGTTGCAAAGGGGCTCAGAGGGGAGTTCTACTTTGATCTCTTTTTTTTTTTTTGCTCATTCAAAGGATTTTCCAATCCAGTCACTGCAATAAAAACAGTTGAAGGACAAAATAATTATAGGACCGGGTCAGTAATTAAAGTCATGTCCAGGATTTCCACAGCCCTCAGGGAGCAGGTCGTGCTGAACGAAGCCTTTCAAATTACTTCTTTAGCTTTCTGTCTAAGGGAAGATATCACTGTGATCTGTGGTCTTCATTATTTAGAGAGCTTCATTTCTCCAGTTTCAGCTTAAAGTGAGTAATGGATAAGCTGGTTTTATGCCTCTCTGTTACTAAGCAATAGTTTGACTTACCAACTAAATCAGCCAATACTGCAACCGGATATTTAGCAAGGCTGAGATTTGTAGCATCCTTCCTATGCTCACATACTGGTGTTTCACATAAAGAAACAGCACAAAATGCTTTAAAACTTCCTTCCTTCCTTCTGTCGTGTAAGGCAACAGGCACTTGAATACCTCTATGTGCTGCTTTGAGGTCAGCCACAGTGAAAGCAGTGTCTGTGACACGAAGGAGAAGGATCCTGGCAGAGGCTTGGGAGATGTCTACATACATGTGTGCATTAAATGGAAATGCAAACAGGACTTAAAGTCCCTTCCAACCTAAGCCATTATAGGAATCTATAACTGAGTCCAAGCACTGGTTATATGGAGTATACAAAGCAGGCAGCTGTGCATCCAACTGATGGATACATCCCAGCCATCGCCACGTGTGCTTGGACCGGAAAAACAAGGGCTGTGTGAATCAGAAGGGAGATTTGCAGCAGTGCTGCACTGAGGGGATGGGAGCCATGGGGACTCAGCTGCTCTAGACCAAAGGAAGAGGGAAGAGCAACGTGGGAGCAAAGCGGGGACCACGTGAGAATGGCTCAGGGAGGACAGCCTGTATGGCACGTGTGACCTTGCATCCACGCAGAGCATTGTCAGCACTGCTAATCCAAAGAAACACGAACAAATAACAAAACTCACAACAAAGCACGCCCAAAGATCATCCCTGCCTTTAGGGGAGCAACAGCCAGGCTCGTTCCAGGGCAGCTGTGGGTGCAGCAGCACAAAATTTGTCACCGTGCCCATGTGTGTAGGTGGGGTGCTGGGGTTGGGAGCTGCAGAACAGAGCCTGCACTGTTGGGAATGTGGGCAGTAGGGGAACTGTCCCAGCACAGAGGGATGGGGCCCATAGCAATGGGTGTCTGGGGATGTTCCTGAGAGTGTCTGACAATGGGAGATACCCGAGTTGAAACACAGCTCTCATCCAATGATGCTGCTGTAGAAGAGGATGGGGAAATCCAGGTCCCAGCTTTGTTTTCCTCTAGCTACAGGCAAGGCAGCAGCAGGATGGACTCAGATGCTTTTTACCCCAATACTCCTTCATGGTTCAGAAGGGCTCTTCAACTGCTTTGCATTTCCCTGATGTCCTACTCTCAAGCTGTTAGTCTGGGTTGGGAAATGCATCCCTGATCTTGCTCTAGACCTCCTTCAGATGTTGTGTGAACATCTTTCACTGAGGAAAAGGATAATGAACCCCAGGGCAGGGCCTGTGAAACTGAAGGTTGTTCCTCTTTGCAGGCAGAGGGAAAGGGTTCAAAGCAAGAAGGCAAAAATTAGACGCACTCCTGGGGATGGTGGATAAACTGATGGGGCAATTCATTGCAGGGCTGAGAACACAGCTGGTGGGAGCAGCTGGACCAGGATGGGAGCTGAAGGCTTAGAGAGGAATTGTACTTTCCATAGCAAAATGAGCCAAATCTGGAATAACAGCGCAGCAGTTAAGCAACTGCCCAAGGGTTGCATGGATTCAAGAGGAGGTGCAGAGAATTGGGCTGTCGGGTGCTAATGCAGCCCAGCAGAGATCAGCGTGGCTCTGTGGAGCTCTGCTGTCCCCATCAGCAGGGGCACTTCCCCACCAGATGGCTGCAATTTGCCTGCATTCCCACTGGCTGTGCTGGGAAGTTGGGTGCTGCTGAAACCAAACCTGCCCAGGTGCCATCGCTGCTCGTTGCCCTGTGTGTTCTGCAGAGAGCTTCACGCTCTCAAGTTTCTGCTGATGGAAAGACAACGCTCATACATCCATAATTAAAACACACAACATAAGCAAGCACTTCATTCATAAACCACTCAAAATTCTCAGTGAAGATGTGAGGGCGATGATCCCATCACAGAACAGATTCACCGTGGGCAATAGCACAGCTCCTCGAGGGCTCTGTGATGGCAGCCTGACTCTGCTCTGGCCAAGCCCTGGCTGTAGGAGGCAATCCCAAGCCACATCCCCACAGCCTTCCCCACTCCAGGAGTCCCAGCCTCACTGCACTGCTGTGCTTTGCTCTCCTCTGGAGAAAGGCAGAGATGAGGAATTTCCCCTGGGTACAAACAACCACATGGAAGTGCTAGGGATAATGAGATGGGACCTTTCTGAGCAGCAATGGAAACCAACTCCTTCCCTGCCGACCCCCAGCCCAGCACTGTGAGGCACAGGGATCTCTGGCTGGAGTCAAATCCAATTAAATTATTCCACAATGAAGGATTGTTTGTGATCAGCTCATTAGGTCCAGCAGAACACTCTCAGTAGCAATTAGGCATTTATCCCTATTTATGGTTGTAAGAGGAGCAGTAAAACTCGAGCAGCCAGTGCTCCCAAGAAGATTCCTCCAGCACAATTTAACGCATCTCAGTTGCTTAATTAAAACTGATTGAATAGCACAGAGCAACGTTTCCACAAATGAAAGCTCTTTTCATTTCAGATAATGAAAAACATTGATTTAGGGGGAATATATGCATGTGATTCCCCAGCAGTGACTAAAGAACCCATTTTCCCAGGACCTGCTCCTGCTTCGTTCCCCCTACCATATATTGGGTGGGTTTCCAGATTGCTGCCTTCCAGGCTGTAAATCCCCCATCTCCCATTGTTTAGAGCCTTTGTCCCAGGTGGCAAAATCCACCCTGCAACCTGCCAGGTACCTTCAGGACCCTGTGGAAGCAAACATGGCATTGCATAGAGAATTCAGAAGATAATTCATTCTCATGTAGGGCTGCTGAAAGCATGGA